CTTTTATTTTTAATTTCACTATAAATATTAAGAGTTATATCCGGCAACACACGTAATCTCTCACTTATTTTATTTATTTATTTTTGCTACTTTTTATTGACATCTATTCGAGCGCGAGAGTTTGAAAAATGAAGATGTAAAGATCTCGTGGGGGAAAGATAATCTTTCTATAACAACGGATAAATAGTCAATATTTAAAGCAAAAAGCTGGTGAAAAAACAAGAAAAAGAACTTTTTAATTGCAATAACTTTCGAACAAATTGGAATTTTTAAACAAAATTCCCAAATAAATTTAGTTCTTTCAACCAGCAAATCAAATTTTAATTACGGAGTCGCATTTCAGCGGGCTACAGATTGACTAAACTTGATATTTTTTCATTATAAGTTTAACAGTTAATTATTCTCGAACTAATAGTGGAATCCTAGATTTTTTTATTCCCTCGTACACCCTACCTTCGTAATTTCAAGTTTCTAAAATCATTAGTTTTGTGTAACAAAGCAAAATGCAAAAAAAAAAGAAGAAAGAAGTGATAAAAAAATTGCATAAGAAAGCACTTAAAATTGCAATAGCTTTTAAACAAATTGGAGTTTCAAGAAAGAAAAAAAAAACTGTTCTGTTCATAAATAAATCTGGCTTTTTCAGCGTTCTAAATTTCAACTCAGGAATTGCATTCCTGAAGCTTGTAGGTCGCCCATAAGGTGTTTTTTCCGACAAGTCTAACAGTGAATAATTCTCGAACTAATAATCGAATACCATTTTTTTATACCATTGTACTCCTTGTACTACATTTTTCCACACACCTCTGTTGTTTCAAGTTTCTAAATCCTATAGATTTTGTGCAGCAAAGCAAAATGTAACGTAAAGCAAAAAAAGTAAGTGATAAAAAAAGTGCACAAAACTAAGCACTTAAAATTGCAATAACTTTTAAACATAGTTCTCGAACTATTATTGAATACTATTTTTTATTCCATTGTACTCCTTGTACATTTTTCTACACATTTCTGTAGTTTCAAGTCTTATAGTGTTTTCATAAAGCAAAATGTAACGTTATGTTAAACACCCTAAACAGCCATAACTTTTTGTTACTTTAGACCAGGGGTCGCCAAACTTTTTTGATCATCGACCCCTTTATAATTTCTCGAAATCTCCATCGACCCCCATAAAAGTAATTTTATGTTAATTAAAATAAAACTCCATTAGATACTATATTTGTATTATTTGTTTTATGACTTTAAACATTTATTAAAGTAATAGTACATTGTGTAACAATAGTTTTATGAAAAATATATTAATGTTGAAATTTAAATACCTTAATATTTATTAAATAATAAGTAATTATAAATAAGTAGAAATAATGAGTAAAGTAACTTCAGATTTATTGCTTCTTAATCAATGAGATAGGTGTGCCTGGTGTTTTTTTGCAAGGTTCGCTATATTGGGTTCAAAATTGGTCAAGTTTAATCGGAAATCCCCTCGAAACTCCACATTTAATTTATTTCTGTACTTAGTTAGTTAGGATTGAATTTACGTGACTGAAACCGGCTTCAACCCTATAGGAACTTGGAAATGCTAGCATAAATGGCTGAGCTATTTCTTAAAGTTGCTATAGTTTTGTCGCTGGCTGTACTAATCCATATTATTAATGCTTACCTTCTTTTTTACATGTATTGATAATTAAAATTGATATCTAAACTAAACGAATGGTTTTATCGAAACAATAACTAATTAGCCAAAACTATAAGAGTTTTAATAATGACACTGCAACTATTCAACACTGTTCATAGTTTGCAATGATAGCTGAAACTGCGTGTGATATTTGCGTTTGTAGCATCAATGCTCATCACACGTGACATTTGGACGAGCGCACATATGCATATGACTTATAAACCAGAAGTGCAGAGTTCGTGCCACTGCGCCCTGGTACGTAAATACTTGTTTCACCCGATTAATATACGTTTATTAATTTATGTTCTATAAAGAAACTGATATTAAGTCAATTATAAAAAAATTCACAAGTTTTGCATACTCAATTAGGTATGTGTGATTTGCGTATTAAGAACTGTTTTTTCTTCAACCCCCTGGCTCAGATCAACCCCCGCTTTTGTTAAATAGACCCCTGGGGGTCTATATAGACCACTTTGGCGACCTCTGCTTTAGACAGATGTTTATGGAGTCGCGATGAACCAGTAGTTAAGGCACTGAACTGTTATTGTGAAGAACTGGGATCCGATCTCCAGTGGTGGCTTGAAGCCTACCGAGCTTCAGCTATGTAGGTTACAGTTTAGATACCAGCTTGTCTGGGAAGTAAAGGTGGTTTATGCGCAGTGCTGACCATATTGTCACAATCATGCCGTTAGTCACGAAATTGTGTAGCTTAATGCCCACAATGGGCTGTTGCGGGGCACGTTTTTATGCATGTTAATGAAAATTACTAATATAAAAAATTATTATTTACCACAAAATACTCTTACATTTAATGAAAAGAATATTTAAATTTTAATGATGCAGAAACTTCATCACTAAATTTGCGTGCAGCACATATTTTACTCTTCATAAAATATTACACATGTTAAAAATTTAGTTTCATAATAAAAATAATTGTAAAAGTTTTATCGCCCTTAATCGTCGATTGACCGTATTCCCCTTCGTCCCCTCAATGTAAACCACTGTATACGATAACTCTTTCGTATTAAAGTAATATTTTAGAAACAAAACTCTTGAAAAGAATGAAAAATAAGAAAGTTGAATTATGATATAAATTCCGGGTCAGAAATTCGAAAGCATACGATCTTATAAAATAACTAAAAGTCGTCTGAAGGTTCTGAAGTGTATAGAATTTCCTTAAAACGTGACCTCGAAACTTTCTTAACGACTTTCTTTGAAGTAGTTATCAGAAAAATAGCTAATAATTACTATCGCATAATCTAAACAATCTTTGATTAACTAGTGGCCGTTAGGCTGTAAGCGAAACCAATTCTGATAATATTTAGAGAGATTAGTTATCGAAAATCTGCAACGTTTATTTGAAGAGCAATTTTATTGTTATCGATGTATGAACTTTCTTTGTAATATTCTCATTTATTGTTATCTCTCACCCATTATTTTTAAATTTGTAAACTCTTGTGTTTCGTGCACTCAGTTTTTGAATTAACCATTTTTATCGCTAATCACCGTTTGCTTTTAGATTCCTGTGATAAAATTGAAGAGTCGAACGTATGCGATAAAAATACAATATAATCATAATTTATGTAGTGTTAATATGGGCTACTATGAGACACTCAAAATAGTAAACAAAACTACCTATTCTACCTACCTACTCTACTATATGCTAGTGGCATCGCCGTTATTTTATTTTAAAGGCAGTGGTTCCCAATTTTTTTTTGGTACCGGAACCTTAAATAATCAACCTTTTTCTGAAAGAAACCCAGACTTTAGAAATAAAGTAAAAATGAAGACAATTGTGAACGTATTAACCATTAAAAGACAAGACTACTTTATTTTGACATATAGTCTTTTTATATTTAAAACAGGAATGACATCTTTCCATTCGTTTTATCATTAATAATCTATAATAAGGTTTTATGTTCGACAGTTGAATTCGCTTTCTTGGAGCTAAATATAGGTAAAAATTTGTTTTGTGTTTCTATAAAATGAAAAATAAAAATAACTGCTATAAATGTTGAAAATTGTTATTAGGGAAACATATTTTTTATTAACGAATTTAGTTATTTCATTTTGATTTGGAAAACGCAATGTGAAATAGGATTGCAATTTTTTATAAATGCATGTCTTTTTCATAAATATATATATTTTTTAAAAAATGCCCTTTTCTTTCATAGGCATTTTATTTTTAAACAATTTTGTTTGATACTCTATGAATTAAACTCGTTAACTTCAGATATTACAGCATTGCTTTTCTTTTCGATAATAATAAATTGAAAATAACACTGGGGAAAATTTTTTTGTTGCATTTATACAAATACTTGACCTTGCCTAGTTCGGGTGTGAGAATTTCAAATTAGTTTTGCTCCTTAAGTTAAGAATTTTCTTTAAAATGACATTTGTAGTCTATTTTATATCGAAATGTACAAGTTTAAAAGCGTTTTATATAATAAAGGGTTGCATAAATGCTGCGACAAACTCCTAGGGGAGTTAGGGCACATCATTAGGATTAAAATTGCAAAGGAGACCAAGAACAGGAATGTCGTCGAACGCGGCTAGGGGGTTTACCTATAATGACCTGTTCAGAAGCACACAAAGAAACAGTTCATAGTAGAGAGGTGCCTTTAGTGGCGTATGATGATGTTTCCGGGCACGGGTTCTTATACAATTTTTATCCTGATGATGTGCCCTAACATTTATGGACCCTCTATTATATGTAACATTTTTAAAATTGTATGTTTTGACAAAAAAAAAAGGACTAAAAATGTCATTTAAAAAAAAAAAAACTGTAACTGGAAGAGAGAAACCGATTGTAGATTTGAAATCAGTGATCTAAAAGAATCTAAGTTCTGTTAAAAAATCTCATGCAATAGAAAATTTTTTCCTGAGTGTAAACAATGTCTTATGTGATTTAAAGAAGCAAAAATCATTTAACGCTTTTCTTCATTGCGTAATATTTACCATATTTTTTTTTGGTACTTCGTTCTTGAGAATAGAACTTTTTTTGAAATATAGTGAACAAGTAACTTTTTATTAGATAAGAAAAGCTAATCTAGAAAATTCCAATTAGTTTCCACTATATTATATTAATAATGGACTGTTTAAGATGTGCTTCTACAGATCATGGCCATTTGTATTTTAGAGTCCTCATCTGGCTTGCATAAATAAAATTACATAATTTTTTTAATGATACTTGTTCTAATAAGTTAGATGAACTTTTCCCCCAGATAACTTAAAAGTAATTAGTTTAAAATTAAATATTGTGATATAATTTAGTAACTTAAAAAATATTCCATCAGTTTAGAAAGTAATTTTAATTCTAAAGAAAAGAAGATAATAAACAAGACTAAGTAGAAACTTTATTTAAACACATATGAGAATAGACATTTAAGACAGTAAAAAAGCTCTTATATTTAATACAGTAGAATCCTAATTTTTCGTTGGGCAAGCGGAAAAACCCATGATGGGGAAAAACGTAAAATCAAGGTAAAAAAAAAATTCTAAGCTCATTTTCAAAAATTTATAATTGACATATAAACTATTAGAAAAAATGTGCAATTTTTAGTCGTTTTTGTTTTTAGGTGCAATCTTAACAAAACCCTGTTAAAAACTATTTTTTGCAAATTTGCTTTTATATTTGTAAATAAACATTGTTTCAGAGTTTTTATACTTTGAATCCCTCAATCCTCTGAGTGTACGAATTCTTACAATTATTATCAAAAGCAGACATTAAATCAGATATCAAAGGGATTTAAAAAGTAACGAGATACGAGTCCCAATCGATGTACCTGCCTTGGAATAAGATCTTTACCTTAAGACACATAATCTTATTCTATCAAAGGGTTATGTCTCTACATTGAATACTGAGAAGCTTGCTTTGTGTATTTTTGTTGACGCTGTCCAAAGCTGCAGAAATAAAAATTAGAGCTCCAAGAACATTTATTTTTGTTTAAGAAAAGTCTTGCAGGTCACAGGAATCAAGGAAAAGAAATAATTTCCTAACCAGTTGCACCCGGTAACAATATTTAAATAAATGGGAGATATTTAAATGATGGGGATTTAAGATTCAAAGTTTGTTAAAAAAAAATCCAATTTTTCAATTTAAGCTCTCATATGCCCATGAGATACGGTTATGGGGATTCTGTGCTTTGTCTATTCCCCATCTCTTCTGATTTTAAATCAAGGGGAAAACCCTCTTTCATGGATAAAAGGACAATAAGAATAAACAGAAAGAATTTAAGAGCAGCTTCAAATAGATAAGATAAAAGTCTCTATTTAAAGAAAAAAGAAAAGAAAAAAAAAAAAAGAAACTTGAAAAAAGTTTATGTGAACCTAGTAAACAAAAAAACAAAAAAAAAAGAGTTTTGATATGTTATTAAGAAAGCGTTTGTTTTGATACGTTATTTTCTCAAACGGGGTAGAGTAAAATCAAGGATATTTTAACATTATCAGTATAGACAATTTCACAAGAATAAATAAATAAAATACGAAAAGAACAAGTGAAAACTGGGGTTCCACTGTATTTATAAACCTAATATTAAAATGTGAAATAAACACGTTATGCATGCTGAATTATACAAAAAATGATGCAAAAAGATTTCCTCGTTTTAAGGATTTCTAAGCACACATAGTTTTGAGTCTTAGTAGAAGAACAAATAGCATATTTCTTATTGTAAGATATTTTAAGTTGAAAGTGAAAATTATAATAAATGAATCCTGTTATGGCACTAATAAGAGCCAATGATCTAATTACTATTTTTAATTAGACTTGGCTATATTTTGAAAACTATTTATGCTAAAATATGAAAACAGGTTATAACACATTTTTATGAAAATTTAATAGTGGAAGTAATGCAAGCATGAAAAATGCATAAATGATATTACAATGATTTATGAATAAAGAAAAAGCATAATGAAATGGCATGATTCTTGTTAAATAAAGCTGAAAAAATTAATTTTTAATCCTTGTCATTACCTAACGTCATTACATAACATAACCGAAAATAGTCAGTTTGCCACTGTTTATGTCATTTTTGTTATTATTATAGGATAATAATTTCAGTTTAAAAAATTGAATAAAACAAACAAAATAATGCAGAAACTCTTTTTAAAATATCCAAAACATAAAATATTTTATCTTACAATGCATTAACACAGAAATATTTTTCGTTTATAGCTTTAAAACACATAAAGCCATTCCTCATATTTGAAACACACATAGCTTAGAAATCTTTCGCTTGATTTTAATATTTTTTAGCTTAATTTTTCAATTTCAAAATGATTTTAACTTTTCCATTGAAAAATGAGTTTACTATAACACAAATTAAAACCAATATCTCAGTTTCAGTTACTATTTTGAATTGAACTTCAGTATTATTTTTGGATGGAATATCTTTATGCTAAAACTAAAAAAAGAAAAAATATTCAAGGAAACAAATTTATTTTTACCAAACTTGAAACAAGCCATAAGCCTGATAAAATAACTGTGAAAAAACAAACAAACATATATAAACTTAAGTCATATTATTTCAAAAAATCTTATAACCAATTTTTAACAGCATTTCTTTCCGAGTATATTTTGGGACACTCAGCAAATAAATGTAAAACAAACTTCAAAAAGTACTAATCATAATTGCAAGACAACGATAGAATAATTTTGAACTTTTGCACTTCTGTGACTAAATAATCTATAACAAATATAAACTATAATTTTAACCAAAACAATAAACTTAGCTACATAGAAATAACAATAAAATATTTTAAAAAATAACATATTCACATACGAATGGAATATATAAAAACATATATTGTACTATAATATAACACAGAAATCCTCAAGAGCCCTTTCATAGACACATGGTTTTGTTGTCAGCTAAAAATATCTATATTACATATTTTTTTTATCTTGAAAATAAAGAATTCAAATATTTCTCCAATCACCACATGCCATGAAAACTAGGAAAATGAACACAACTACTTTGAAGAAGAGTATAAAATATTTAAAAAAAAAATAATATATTTACATATGGACGGAGTAGGTAAAAACATATATTGCACCATGTAAAATAACACAGAACTTTTTAAGAGCACTTCCAGACACATATGGCTTTGCTGCCAGCTAAAAACATGTACATTAAATGTTTTGCATCATGAGAAATAAAGAATCCAAATGCTTCTCCAACCACCACATGCCACGAAGCCCCATATTTTTGATCTAATGTCTCTTTGATTAATCTTGAAACTTTCTGAAATTTAAAAAAATTTATACTTTTTAAAAAATTTACATATTTTTTTCATTCATTTTAGATATTGATTATATAATAACTTTGCTTATAAATGACCGTCCAGTGAACAAATCAGTCGAGGGAACAGAGTTTTTGTCTGCTCAAAAATGGTGTTAAAAATGATTGTCCATTTTCCTGATTATAATAACAGTGAAACAATCTTGAAACTTTCTGAAATAGATAAATTTTAAAAAAAAATTATACTATTTAAAAAATTTACATACTTTTTTCATTTATTTTAGATGTAGATAATAAAATAACTTTGATTATAAATGACAGTCTAGTGAACAAATCAGTCGAGGGAACAGAGTTTTTGTCTGCTCAGAAATTGTGTTAAAAATAATTGTCCATTTTCCGGATCATAATAACAGTGAAACAATCCAAATATTAAATGAATATTGCTATATGTCTCTCATCCAAACATGATTTTCATAGTAAAAAAATTAAAAATTGAGATGGAATTCAATTTTTAGCACAAATAGCAGCAACTTTAGACAGCGATGAGGATGCATCATACAAATTACTGTACTTTCTTCATTTTGCTAGAGTGCATCAAGTAGACAAAAGTGCCTATATGTTTGAAATTTTTATAAACACTCTTTACTTAGAGCTGATGTTTTTAATGCTACCAATGCTGTCCCAACTCCATTTTAAATTATTTTGACTATAGAGATCATGTGTTGCTGAAAAAACAAGGTCATGCTGTTTGAAAGTTTCAAATTTCTGCCACTATATTCTTAACCTTGACTGCTAGATAATTTTTTTTAATGCTATTCTTCCTGTCTTATTTTATTCTGTCCTTGTAAATAGCATGATGTCTAGAGAGTTATATGCTCATAAGTTATTTCATAATCATCATGTATGTACTAAATACACAATAAAACAAACAATGCTTAAGCATAACAGTTTTGCTCCTGATATGAATATAGAAAGTGTAACACAATTAAACTGAAAATACAGAACTGCGTTAACAGCAACCAGGATTAGTCAAAATGCCAATTAATAGTAGTAATAAACATTTTTAAAAACATTATTCTAAAAACACTAACACAAAATCATTTTTTTTCTTTCCTCTTTTCTTTGAAAAGTTGGAACTATATTAATGTATATAGATATATTTGGTTGTGATGTAATTAAATAAACAAGCTGGGTGCAGTGTAATATATTTATATAGCTTACAGAAAAATCAGACGAAAGTTTTTGTTATAGTTTAATTTGGAATAAAAATAACACATGATGTAGCAATGTACTTAAATACAATCAACACTTCTAAAATTTCTAACCTTCTAAACTTTCTAATGATTTATCACACACAAGTGAACAAAAATCCATATATTCTCTCAATTGAAAATAATTTTTCAAAACAAAATATTAGATAATAGCACAAGAATAAATTAAATGAAGATATAATATAATATATTGATAAGAATTAATACAAGATAAATTTTAGCCAATATATGCAGCTATTAGTTCAATAGGATCGATATGTTTATTATGTCTCAAAGGTGGGTCTCATATTAATTGAATGTAAAGAATTGCCAAAATCACAACTCAAACTACTGAAGTTTCAAATAACTATCTCATTTTGTTAAATATTTGAGCTTTCTCATTTTCAAAGAATGTTTTAAGAAACCGTAATTAATTATATATTTTTAATTAGAAATTTATATCTATAGAAATATCTGAACTGTTTACTGACTTAAAGTAGAAGATTAAAGTAACACTGTTCACCGTAACATTAACTTTGCAGGTGCTAACAAAACTATAATCGCTGTTGAAAAGTTTCTATAGCTGAGACAATACTATCAACTCCACACATGCTGTAAAAATAATTATTTGCTTGATCACAATCTTGAAATTAAACCAAAATTGATATATTTGTTTGTAGTTAATTAATTTATTTTAATAAATCATAATTTTGATTAAATATAATTTTTAATAATTTGTAATAATTTCTTTTCTCTAAATAAGAAATATTTAAGTGTAATTAATGACCCTATTGATTATTTTTTATGTAAAATAATCAATAGGGTCAGGTGGGGTAAAGTGGGTATAGGTTAAAAAGCATCTATTTTCTCCTTTTAATTAGAGATAATTTATTTAATTATTTTTACAGACATTTACTAGGATTGCAGCAAACATTTTTATTTAAGTTTTATAAACAGATAAAAAAAAATTTAAGGTTTACAAACTATCTGTTTATGATCAATTTATAAAGTATGTTAGTTTAAGTTGTTGATGAACTTTCTTCTAATATCATTAAAAACAGTCAAAAACTATTAATTATAGTTCAAATTAGTACAGGGACATCAAAAGAACAGATCTACATGGAAATTTAAGAATGAATTTCCAAATTCCACTTATTATGAATTGTTTTCTGATGTGGGTATATGGTTAGGCTTAGATAAGTGTTCTATGATAGGGAAATTTTTTTTTTTTTTACTTCTGTGTTAGCTTTAATAAGTACCTAATGCTCTATATTTTATAATGAAATAGCTAAAAAATAATTTACTTGTTTGATTATAGCCCTACATAGTAATACCCTACCCTACAGCCCTACATAGTTCTATGATAGGGATAATTTTTTTCTTTACTTCTGTGTTAGCTTTAATAAGTATCTAATGCTCTATATTTTATAATGAAATAGCTAAAAAAATAATTTATTTGTTTGATTATAACCCTACATAGTAATTTTAATGCTGAAAACAAAATTCTTTTCAAATTTTGCTTTTTGAAGTAAAGAATTATATTGGAAATAATAATATAACAGACATATTATACAACTAAAATAATTACACCAAAATAGCATAGTAGTACAACTTAATAGGCATATTTAAAGATACAGAGGGGTTTTTACGCAAGTTTCTGCCTTCGTATGGCAGTTTTTTCATGGAAAACAAAATTTCCCTAAAGTGACTTAATTTAATAAAAATACATGCCTGCTATAAACAGTAAAAATACTTTAAAATACTACTATAAATATTAATTTTTACACTCTCATTTATATTTCAAATGAACCAAAAACTAATACATTTTACTTGCTTTTTGATGAAGTTGTGTAGAGTTTAGCAAAATATACTGCTAACCTAATTTTGATAGCCATTAACATTAACCCTTTAATTTTACGAGAAAAACTTATTTTTTAGCATTTTTTTTAAATATGATCATTATACATTTATTTAAGAGCGTTTTCATTTCTAAAACAATATTTTTTTAGAAATAAAAATGCTCTGTTACATACGTTTTTTAGTAAAAAATATACTAATTTCGGAACTATACTCACTTTACCCCACTAAAGGGTAAAGTGGGTATATCAAAACATGTTCTTTTGAATGCATTACCATAAGAAAATAATAAAACAAAATAGGTAAGTTATGCCTCATATTTAATTTATATGAATCTAATGTATATAAAATGCATCAACATTTTTAGTAAAATAACTTTAATGGTTTGGTTTACGAACCTTCTTCAAAAAAAGCTTGATTTTATACCCACTGACCCTATAAAACAAGTTCTCTATAATGCAAAGTATCACATTTTAAGGTTTGCATTATAAAGATCTACTGCAATAGAAAAGAATATAATATTAACATATGATTTCTTATCTACAAGATATTATTTTTAAAAATAGCTCAAAAACTAATTCAAAGATAAATATTTGTAAGAATATTTAATCTGTTCTATAACATTTATTATATAGCATTGAATAACTGGTGTGCAAATGGAAAAGAATTTGCAAATGGAAAATTTAGTTTAATATTATTTTTTACTATAAAGTAACAGAAATTTTTCATGGCAAACATTTGGACAATACATCATTTATTTTCTATGTGAACACATTCATTAAATACTTCTAAAAAATTGAATAAGTTAGAAGAGAAATAAAAATAATATCATTAATAAAAAAGTGTGAAAATGATTAATGTGAGAATTTTTGAATTAACTTTTGAGAGAAGTTTTGAATTAATTTCTTTGAGTTATAACAAGTATTTTCGAATCTTGATATAAGTCAAACAACAAAATTTTTAATTATGTGGCAAAACATCTTATTATATACTCTTTAATTATATTATATATAACCTCCATCAAAATTTTATTAGTGCAATTTCAAGTAAGGCTTAAATATTGCATGACTTTCAACTATTGATGACAGCATTATTTATGAAATATAGTTTAGGAATATAAACTTTTTAATATGTTAAGCTGCTTGCCTTTTTTAAGTTAGAGTTGGAAAAACAATTGTTGAGAATAGTACTGCACAATCATAAAATGAAGATTTCGAAAACAAATTTTACCTCATGATCAGTAGAATGCTTTTCATACGAAGTAACACATAAATCCATGGTATCTGTTTTCATTTCTTCAGACATATCACAGGTCTGAAAAAGGATGGCATGATAAGAAATCATTGATAACTTAAACTAATTGCAAGCTAAAACAAAAGAACAGTAAATAATCAAAAGTGAATTCTCACTTAAAATCCTATTTTTAAAATGGTAATTTTTTATTTAAAAAAAATTAGATTTCCTTTTTCAAATAAAGAGTCAAAACATATATTTCATGAAACAAATTAAATATGTGAACCCAGTGATGGAGCCAGAAATTTTTTTGGAAGAGAGGAGATATTACACCAATCTATTGCAATTATTATTTTTTTTTTAATTTTATGCTATTTACCATGTAGAACTAAAAATCAACTGCCCATTTTTTGTAAAAATATATTTTAAATCAATAAATAAATAATATAATTAACTGTTTCCTTAGGTGGGATTTTAAATACTAAAACCACTTTTTTGGTTATATTATACTAATTTAAATAAATATAAAAATTAAATTGTCTAAAATGAGATAAATTATTAAGAACTAAATAACATTTAAGAATAACTAGTAGTCTAAGTAACATTTGACATTAAGATAGATTATTTCTACATTAAGACACTGGCCAACTTTATGGTTAAAGCAATCTGCTTTGCTTTGCCAAAATAAATACACTTAGTTGTTTCAAAAAACGTGTTTACAATGAAATAACAATATTTCTTTATAAATTAAAAAACAAGATGAAAAGCTGTAAAATAATTTGTAGTAATTATTATATAAATAATAAATGATTATAGATGCGTAACATACAACCAAGATTTTTTTTAAATATAATTCTAAGATTATTATCAATGTTTGAAATTCTCACAATTAAAATTGCATTATAAAATACAGCAGCTCAGTACAAGCACTATATTTTTGAGGGCATTGTTACTTTAAAAAAATAATTCAAAAAAGTTTGTTTAATTTAATATATATAGATCAACATTTAACATGATGAAATAGAAGAAACCTAAAATGGATACAAAGATTATATTCCTTTTAATATCTGATTTTTATTTCTTTTTAAATTAAACTGAGTTTACAAAACCAGTAATATATATAACAAATAACTAAATGTGTTAGTTAATAAATTTAATTTAAATGTTAAAATGTAATTTTTAAGTAAAATATGAAATTTTGTTTAAATTTATTTTTTTTAAATACTTTATTTAGATAAAATATCCAATTTTAAAAAGAAATTTGCAACATTCCTGATTTTCTTCTTTTTTTTATTATTTAAAATGATTTCGTTTGCTTATTAATTATTAGATTGAAATTCTATTTCAAATCAGTGTTTATTTTGTTTAAATAGTCTTTTTTTGCATTGATCTTCGTAATAATGATAATAATTTAATTTTTAAGAATTCGGGCATAATTTTGGGAAATTTCCATTTTTAACATAAAAAGAAATATTAAATTGTGCTTTTTTATTTTTACTATGTTATTTTTCAATTTATGAGCAAAATACAGCTAAAGAGTACTGAACTATAAAGAATTGTTTAAGAGTTGCTTTTTGAAATTCTAGTTAAGAATACAATGTTTTAAATGCAAATAGAAATAAAATTTATAACAGACTTATAATTGCTTAAAACAACTGTATGCTTTTGTTGGCTGCATCCTTAATGATGCCTTAATAAGAATAGAGCTTATAATATTTAGTTTGCAAAAAATTTTTTTTTTCTTCTTCAATTTAACTACTATCGAATAATATGTAACTAATTTGAAAAAAATGTAGTAAATACTTTTTTTCTTCAACATATTAATGCAATAATTAATAAATTTCCATGTTTTCTGAAGTTAGCTATTACATAAAGATGTGATAGTTAACATTCAAAATCAAAATTTATAAATCTTTATTGATAATTATTCAATAAATTGTATTAATCTTGCAGTAAGCCAATTTACAATGAAACCCGCTTGTGTAATATCCAGGAACATCATAACTATACTGTAGAATAAAGAAAGAATTATGCATTATTTGTATGTGGGAAAAATTATCACAAAATTTTGTTTCAGTGAAATGGAATACATTTTTTTAAAAATAAATTACTTAAAACATGAATAAATTTTGCACTTCAAAAATATACTTCTAACAACATTTTCCTAGTTTAGTAGCTAGTTTTAAAAATCACAAAATGTAATAGTAAAAAATAAAATTAAGAACATAAGTCAATCTGAATTTAAGAATGAAAATATTCTCCGACTTAAATAAGTTAAATAGAAAGCTAATTGAATAAAGAGCTGAAAAATAAATAAATAGATAAAGATTTCAATATTAACTTTAACTTACATGCTCAATTGAATAAAAGTTTTTACTTTAAGTAAATAACAAATTAACCATTGTCAATACAGCCAAAAATTATTTCCGTCTTAAATATATATATTATTTAATAAAACTATATTATAAAACTAAAATATATTAATAAAACTTTCAATAAAGTTCATAAAAAACCACAGTATTTATGAACGTCGGGTACTTATCCTAAATTATAAAAAGCAGGGTATTTAACATCTACACACATTACATCATATTATTATAATTTTCTTTTGTGATGTAAAAACTTATTCCGTTAGCAAGATTCGTAGAATATATCCTAAGAGTAAACCTCATTAGACAGTCCACTCCTTTTTCCACTCAGAATTAATTAATTAATATCATAAAGTATAAAGGAAGTTTTTTGTCAAGTGTCTAATAAAATTACAAAACAATAATCTTTTTTTTAAATATAATTCTAAGTTATTAGTCTCTTCAATAATTCCATAAATAAATAGTAGTATAAAAATAAAAAAAAGGATTAGCATTTGTAATATAAAGAAAGCTATACAAATATCCATAGTAATTTCAGACAATAATTAAATTTTTCAAATATTTAATTGCAATATAGCTTTTTCAGTAAAATAAAATTGAAATAAACAAAATTTGAATACTTACTTGTATTAAAGGATAGTTCATGACCTTTCGATAAGGAGCAGATGCTGCTGCTTTAGATTTACTCATCTTAACTAGAGCTTACTTTGTTTTCTAAAAAAATGTAAATTATTAGTACCTAAAGATACAATTTAAAATTTTCGAGGATAAGTTTTGTACATCAAAATTTAATCAAGCGACCTCAACAGTCAATGAAAAAGATATTATAAATATCTATCAACACTATATAAATTGATATGTTGGGAAACTTTTTCTAACAAAATTGAAGATGCATATTTATATTATGAATGCAAGGCATTTTAAATATTGTAAAAATTAATGATTTCATGAAAATTTTACAAAATTTTTTAGATGCAAGAAAAGTAATATGGTTCAGAAAAGGAAAGATATAATATAGAGCAGAAACTTTAAATGAACCCAACTATACCTTATGCATCAATCTACTTTAATGATATAAGTGAGGAAAAAACGCAAAAATTTTAAACCAAAATTTTTTCCCTTCTTTTTCTTGAAAATAGAAATCTTATAAAAACAAAATAATCCTATTCCCTCAATTTCTCTCTTGATAAATTTCCTCAGTAAATACTAGTACAATGGAAAAGTTTCTATAAAATAAACTGATCACTAATAAAATAACAAAAAAAAAACTGTACAAAAAAAAAAGCTATATCTTATTTGTTAAAAATTTATAAGATCCAAATTATAAAATCACATACACAATTTATTCATTTTTCATTTCAAACAAATTAGTAGTTTCGAATCAAAACAAGAGCTAGCTTTGGAATGCTAAGTCAAGATCAATTTTTTCATAGATTTTATTAATTGTATGAAAATCAATAGTTTGAAAAGTTTTCAAAGAAACAGCAGTTTCTTCAAGATATAAGCACAAATGCTTATACAAAAATGTTCTTAAAAAATGAACGTAAGAAAATTTTACAGAATAATAACAAGATTAATGTAAATATAATTGCTGAAACTTAAAGAAATGAATAATATTAAGAATTTTTCATAGACTATTAATAATAGCAAATCTCTCATTAATGTTCAGTGGCTTTAAAAAGTGTTCATACAATTATGATTTTTAATAAAATAGGACTCTAGTAATTTATTTAAATGAATATTTCAGAATAGGTATTTAACAATAAGATAACAAAAATAATCTATTCTTAATCCTGTTGCACTGAAAAATCAATGAAGAGTTTCAGGTGAAATCGAAAAATAATATTTTTCATTAAATTCAGCATAAACTTTTGCAGCACTCAAACATGAATTTATACATATTTTTTAAAAAATTTTAAAATTTTAATCTCTAATTATGCTGATCAAAATTTCTCCTTTTAAGCATTTTATCTCATACTGCACAGTAAAATGGGAAAATTTAGCAATATTCTGTACTAATTTATCACTACAATGATGAAAAATAATCAATTTTCTTATGCAGTCTGTTGTTTCAATTCAAGAACGAACCATTCTTAAATAATAAAGAAAATACAACAGATTTAGCAAGCAAAAATTAAAATTGAACGCTTTATTAATTTCTACCAAATTACGAAAAAAAAAAACAAAAACGAATGAAATAAAAATTAATGACAAAAAGTATATATAATAATGTAAGGCAAAAGAAATTATTTTCAATTATGAATTTAGCCAAAAATAATTCAGTGTATGATGACTTTTGCAAGATAAAATCTTAAAGCCTTTTGATTATTGCTTTCATATAAATGAAGTTTTACAATTTTTTTAAAATATTTCACGTAGTTTTGCTAAAAATAGATAATAATCTTATTATTAAATATACACTTGGAAATATAAATTTCAATATTGGATAGGACTCTGTTTCATTGAAAATACTAAGTGTAAAAATACTTTTTATTAAATTCAAACATAGATATTAAAATATTTACTTTCAAGTTGTTCAGGTTTCTTTGTTTACAAATTGGTTCACGTTTCCTTGCCAGATTTCAAACAGTAAAATTTTTTCACAAACCGTGAAACGAATAAGCAAATTTATTTTCACAGCTTTATCTTTTTATTAAAATGAAATAATTAATTAACATATTTTATCAGCCTGCCTTTTTCTGTAATTTCATTTACAATTCCCGATCCAGAATTTTCTCGTTAGTTTCTCTAGAATTTTCTGGAAGCAGCATAACGACATATTCGGTTCTGGTTTCATCATTCAAAAAGGTTATAAATATATCGTCTGCTCCTGAGTGTGCTATGATCTGGTCTGTTACGAATTGTTCGTTGTATTGAGAGTGTATCTCACAGAATTTGAACACTTGTGTTTGCTACAATTGTTTCCTCTTTCACCTTTTGGAACTTTTCTGTCTGTTAAACTTTTTCAAAACAAAATGTGGAGATTACTACCTTTTGCCTACAAAAATTTATGCTCCAGAGTGCATCCTGCCCAACACAGCTTGAGAAATTATTGGCAGCGTAGAAATGTGTTTTCTGAATTATCGTCTGCGATGCAAATAATGGAAAATAGAATGAAAGAAATGGATCGGGAAATGAACAAATTGTTTGATGGATTACAGCGGGGAAGTCCGCTAAAACGCTCTCCATTCGAATGGATCAAAGGTAAAGAAATTCCTGTTCTATCCAAGGATGGAAAAAACAAAAATTATCAAGTCGAACTTGATATGGAAGGAATGGACCCCGAAGATATAAAGATCACTTTAAAAAATAATGAATTGACAGTGACAGCTCGAAAGGAAGAGAAAGGTTCTGATGGTTCTCATTTCATCCGCGAGAATAAATATCATTACACTTTACCTGATAATATAAACCCTGATGCAATCAGATCAACATTAGCTGATGGTATTCTTACTATTGAAGCTCCTTTACCTGCTTTGGAATCAAAGGAAATACCTGTAAACATTGAGAATTCCAGTTCAGGCTCAGATAGTGACAAAGACTCTAAAAAGCCTCAGTGATTCCAAGTCTCATGTGTCTTCATTAGCTATGTAACTTTTTGTGAACTACTGTAGAGAACTCATCTAGTAATGTACTATATGCTGGGCAAAATCATCAGTTTTTGGTCATTTTTAAACTGGTTCTTCTCTGAGTGTTATCAGAAATTATAAATGATAAAAAGCATTTAAAGTAAGATAATGTTAAAATTTTTCTATATGTTTGTAAACTAATTTTTAAAATAGTTCCTATTGTTTTAAAATTGATTTGTTTATTGTAAAGAATTTCTAAAAGAAGCAATAATTTCAAAGGATTTTTGCAACAATTAATTTTACACTTATTTCTATTATCATATAAAGATGTTTTCATACGTTTCCACTTTTGTTTGAAACAAATTGTTATAAAAAAATGTTTGGAGCACTTTAAAAACATTTATATTCATTTCATTTTTAAATATTCATTTCAAAATGTTTTAGTTGTGATTCCTGGTAGTATTGTACTAAAGTAAAAATTGTTTTTGGAACAAATAAATAAATTTTGTATGAAAGTAGTCAATTTTATTTCAAAAGTTCAAAGATATTTTTTTATTTGAGTATCTTAATGCATTGGTGAATGAAAATTATAGTGTTTAAGTCTTGGTTACTTCGAAAGATAAATACATTAAGACAATTAAATTTTACAGCTATGTATAAAGTGCAATGATAAGTGTTAATTCTCCTTTTAAATCATTAACTTATCTTATTTAATTATATATTTCTGTTAACATTTAGGTATAAATCTATATTTATCATTGAAATGATTTTTGATTTCAATGGTAGGTAAATACAGATTTATACTTTAATTCTAAAATATATTTTTAATTCTTTTCTTTCACAAAACAAAAAATTGTATGAACTTAAATGGTTTGGAAAACTAAATTGTTCATTATAAGATTTTATTAATTTTAAACAATTTTTGACTATTTTCTTTTTCTACAATTATTTGATTAAATAAAATTCAGAAATGCCTGATTTATTTATTTAAAATAAAAGTTCTATTAAAACCTGCATATAAAAAAAGTATTTAGTAACTTTTTATTCAGTTTTATTCGTAGAAAATTTTTGTTTTGTTGACAGCTAGCAAAAAATTAAAATATAAGTATATAAACAAATTTTCTATAGTGAAGTGAATAAATTTTTTTTGCTAGAGTTACAACTCTAATTAAATTTTTATATATAAAAAAAAACTAAACATAAAATGCTTAACTTATTTAACAAGAGAAAAAGAATTAAATTTTAAATGATTTTACGATTTTATTGCATGTTGTAGATAAAGTTTTAAAAGAAAAATAAAATACAAAATTAGAATATTTTTAAGAAGTCAAAAAGATATTTTGGTACAATTTTCCCAAGCAAAATCCTTAAAATGGAATGAGACTCAAAGTAAAAAAAGAAAAAGTGTTTAAATTGAGAAAATTCAATGTGAATATATTTCACTGATAAAGATATTGCACACAGCATGTATAGATAAAAGTTTTCCATGAAATATATGATTTCCATGAAAGTAACAAAACTTACTTTTAGATTAAAAAAAACATAAAATATTACAGTTGATAAGAAACAGAACTTCTCTAGACAAAGCTTTAACATATAGATTTTACAATACCCAAGTTAATAAATTCGAAATCGAAGCAATATTTCACACAACTTGAAAAAAAGTAGTTTATTAATAGAGTCACATCAGTCAAATGTACTTTTCTTACATGTAATAAGATTTTTAAAAATCAAAATTTATATGGATTAAATTATTACAGTACATAGAATTGTAAATATGATTATATTTATAAATCAAAACTTAAAGAAAATTTTTTTAAAGAAAGATTATTTTGAACCAATTCATGTGTTAATAAATTTAAGAAAATTTAACCCTTTTTTTGAAGAGAAATTTTTATTGAAAATAATATTAATAGTTGTTAGATAAATTAATTTGTATCCTCTCAAACTACTCATTGTTACAGTTAACTGAAAGACAGGTTATTTTTCATGTTTGAAGCAGGGTTTTTCCCATTCTTTATAGATTTAAAATTTTTTTTGGAGTGAGTCAAATTCCTTAATAATTCCAGATATATCTGTGTGTGTTGTAGACTTAAGCACAATAAAAGAAAAGAAAACTTTATGTTCTTACATCCATATTGCTTTTCTTTATTCTTGAACATTAATGGTCTTTAAATAAACAATGAGAATGAAATAATTAATTGGTTATTAAAATATGTCAAAAATTATTTTTTTTTAGGAAATTACATCAAGTAAGGAAAATTTTAAACAAGCAAAAGTAAACTATTTTCAAGTTTAAGATCAAGTATTAAAATGTAATTTAAAACCTAACCAATTTTGTTAAAGTTCACATAATACAATTTCATAAATTTTAATCATAGCATATTTTTATTGGCTTTTTAGATTTCTTCTAGATTTTGAAAATTTTAATAAGGTTTTGACAGTTACTATTTTGCTATAAAACATGATTATACATGAGCAATCACACCAGAGCAGGAAGAACATAAAATAAAGAGTGTTTTATTAAAGTATAATATATACAAATATTTACAAATAAGTGTTTCACACTGAAATATAAATCAATAGAATGTTCATCATGGATCTGGTTTAAATCGTTTAGCAGGCATGTCATTTGAAGATCCTTTCTTCAGCCATGCAGTGAGAGCTGTATGTTTTACAGGATTTGATTTCTTTTCAGATTCTCTGAAAATATAGATTTGTTATAAGTGCACATTGTTTTAAAAAAAATAGTAATAATTAATAGTTTTAAGTGTCAAAAAAAGTATTGAAATTGAAACCGTATAATATTGAAAAAAAAACCACTAAAAAATTAATGTATACAATATATCAAATTAATAAAATATTCTGATGTGAAAACTTTCCAGAAAGGTTTTTTTTTAGATCAGTGAAAAGTTTGTAAAATGTTGAAAATTTTTGAATTATATTGATTATAAAAATCAAACTATTTTCTCAACATTTCTACACTTAACAGAAATTTTCCTGCCAATTCTTTCAAATAAGAAAGTTGGACAGACTTTTTTTCTGGTGAAAAAGTAGTTACGTTTCAGGACAAAACAAAGTATTTGAGTGTTTAAAATTTTGAACAATTACAGATCACAGGAATAAAGAAATAACATACATGGATGTCAATTGTACACAGAATAACTGTATCTTTACCTAAATGGTTTGAGACATTCAACTGAATTATTTTTTGAATAATTAACAAGAGTTGAAACTGGATACATATGCAAATCCTCTACTGGCTTCAAAATAGAAATAGCCTGAAATAAGAAAAATTCAATTAAGGATTGTTATATAACTTTAGGTATTATGTATAAATGTTCCCCTACAAACATAAAAAATATGCATTATTTTTATGTACTTAATTTTGTATTTTCCATTAATGAGTATTGGATATATTTATTGAAACTAGCATCAAAATGAGTATGAAACAAATCACTAAATATTGAAGAAAAATGAGTATGAAAAAAAAAATTCAATTTTCTACAATGTAACTTTTCAGATACTGTTTTAAGGTTATATTTCTTTGTTCTGAAATCTAAAGAAATAATTAGCACTCCCTTTATGGTTAATATTGAATTCTATTTTAATAACCATTGTTCTGAAATCTAATAAAATAATTAGCACTCACTTTTATGGTTCATATGGAGTTATATTTTTAATAACCATGTCACTAAAATTTTTTTAATAAAAGATCACTATAAATTTATTTTTAAACCCTACAAATGAAAAAGAAAATGAATGGCTGATACTGAGGTGGATCAGAACTGAGATCAAGGACAAAGAAATTACTCATTCCAGAACCGCAAAATATATTTAGTAAAACTAACAATGCATGTAAGCAATAGGCAAATAAAATAAGTTTTTTTTTCAGATTTTGAGTAATCTAAATAGACAATGTGAATAACTCATATTAATGTATAACAATGAATAAATGAAAAAAAAAGAGACATGAATTTGTAATGACCTACATCTTTAGTAGCAACTCTATTTGTATCCAACCACATGGAAACTTCATCCTTCCCAGTCAAAACTGCCTAAAGAACAGAAATTAAACTATAAAAACAGCATTGGAAGTAAAGAAAAAAAAATGTAAAACACTACATATGAATTAAGTTTTAATTGTCTGCTCTAAAATATAACCATTGACAACTAACATTGTTTTTATAATACTACATTTACAAAAACAATAAAAGTCATACCATCACATAATATTCTTAGAAAAACTACAGATAAATATATTTTACAAAAATCTAAAACAACTGTAGCTATAAAACTGGCCTTACCACTAAGACACTGCATTTTACCAAATTAAATTGATGAAGACCAAAAGCGGGATTAAAAATTTAAATTAATGGGTCATATAAAGATATAAAAATCTGAGTAGAGTTATGGTTATATTTAGTTATTAATCTGCTTAAAATACATTTTTATGATAATGTTTTATTATAATTTAAAGAATAAAATTTTAAAATTAAGTCTTCAAGACATTTATTAAAAATCAACTGAAAACTGACAAAAAATTACCATTAGATTTAATCCAAATCTAGCCATTCCCTCTTATTTTTTTTTTTATCATGAAACTGTAATATTGAGGAACAAGAAGAAAAAGGGGGGAAATAATAAGAAAAAAAACAACATACCTAACACCTTACCTAATTTATATATAGTTTGAAAACATAAAATATAGTTTAAGTTTCAAACAAACTATAGATTGGAATAACAAACTATACATAATGATGCAGACAAAAATCAAGGCTAAAAATGTCACTAAGTAATTGTTTGTTATAATAAAATAAAAAAATTTCTTTTTTGAAATTTTCTTTCATTTATTTAAAAATTTTGCATTTAAGTAAAATTATCATTTTGGGTTATACAAAATTTTCATCAATTATATTTTTTAGCAATGCAAATAAATATTACCATTATAAATGGAGTTTTTAAAATTTAATAAATCTTGGAAAAAGGTTTACCATTTAAAAAATTTTTAAAAAAGAAAAACATTGAAACTACAGAAAAAATAAGTTCATCCTCTGTGCAGAGTTTTAAAAAACTAATAAATGTAAAAAGTTATAAGTTATAAAGTATAATAAATTTATATAAATATTTAAAGTTACATAAACATTAAATAGATTATTATGGAATGAAAAAAAAAATCAAATGAGATTACTGGCATTCTTTCATGAACAAATGCAACTGTCTTTGAAGAATCCATAGTAATTACGGAATAACTGTAAATAACTTCATTCTAAAATATAAATAAATGTTATTAATAAGGAAACTAATATATAAAAATAATCAGTATGGCATTAAGAAGCTAATACAACTAACAACTCAATGAAGTAAAATGATAAAATAAGAAATTTCAAAGTAATAATTATTATTCTTTTGCATTAGCAAAAAAAGAAAATTACCATTATATAGTACACATAATAATATACAAAAAGAAATAAAATATTTTTATTGTTATTTTTTCTTTAAAGAAGCAATTAATTTTTATTTGTATTGAATCATTTTAGGCAGATTTCTCTTTTTTACCTCATGAAACTGGTAACATATATTTTTTTAAATCCTTATATTAATATTAGAATATTTAGCTCAAAACTTTTACAGTTAAAATAAAAAATTCACACATAACTAATTTTAAGCCAGTTGATATTGATGAAGTCATAGGATATTGTATTAAGAATATCATTACATTTGGTTTAATTAAATACATATTGTCATATAAGAATGCACAATCATTAAATAAAGAAAGTTCTTTCTTTATTTAATGATTTTAACATTTTCAATTCTCCTAATTTGGCACTTTAAATCTGTTCAAATTAGTTTTAGCAAGAGAGCTTCTGGATCTTTTCCAGGGAAAAAAATTATTGTATATTAATTGTATAATTTCTTCTGAGAGTTAGAGAGAAAGAAAGTTCTAACATTTTAACAATGGCAGCAAAGAGGTGGATTTTTCCATAAATAATAATACAGGGTGCATAGTCAGATTTTTCAACAAAAAATAAACACTTAAAAAATATTTTAAACTACTTTCCAAAAAAAATCATAATTAGAATCTGTGCAATAATAAAAATTATTTTTTTCCATCATTTAAAGTTCTTAATTTATAAACAGAAAATCAATAAAATTCAAAAACATTTTCAAAAACTTTACATAATCATAAAATAACTAGTTTAGAAATATTGCAAAAATCATGCATTTTTTGTAATTTAGAAAGACAATCAACACTGCAAAGAAAAAATCTCTTTTAAAAACATAGAAAATTAAGTACTTTTTACAAACCCCGAATAAAAAAAGCACCTTTAAGGGCCTTTAAAAAACATACTTCAAAAATAAGCACCTTCTCTTTTTAAAAACGCTATGGACTTTGTAAGAGCAGTAAAAAAAAAAAAACATTTGAATACACATACACTTGTAACAAGAGCTATTAGCATCTCAGCCTCTGAAATTCTAAAATATTGTGTAACAATTTTGGCTAAAACTGGTGAGGGAGGGAGGTCACAAAGTTCTCAAACAATGGATCTCTCAAACTTTCTCTTCAGAGCTTGAGGAATTTCCACTTGCTTTTAATTAAATTTATGACTAAATATTTTTATAATTTGGGGAAGGAAAGGGAGGCTGGAAAATGTGGAATATATATATAAAAAAATGACAAAAAATTTGTTCTTAATGATTTTTTTTTCTTTTCATAATTTGAGGGGCAAAACACAATCAAATCTCTCTACTTTCTAAAACTGCTCAACCATAAAAACTTTTCAACTCTCAAACGAATCATAAGGAATTTATTAGTTAAAATAAGCATTTTTTTCCTTTGGAGAGGTCGTGAAGCACTTAACAAGAAAGTTTGAAAGATTCATTGCATGAGGGCTTCCAGACTTCCCCCTCACACCTACTTTTAGTTAAAACTGTATAAAAATAATTTTTGCCATTGGAGTGTGTTTTGAAGAGGATAAAGGAACTGCCAGCAGGAATATGTAGAAAATAAGTTAAGAATTTAGTAAAAAAGAAAATGAGTATTTTTAATTTCAGGGGGAAAAACACCTAAAATCTCCATCTTTGCTGCACAATTGAAATTGAATTTTAAAAATAATCTCTTTTTTGTTTTTTAAGACAAATTTATAACTACACACTAGGTATACCAGATAAAAAAAGGATACAAATAACGAGCTTATTAGTCCTCCAGATACCATTTAAAAAAATACATTACTAAATGATCAGAAATAATGCACAAAAAGTAATAAGATAGTAAAAACAATTAACACAAAACAAAATATTTCTTACATTAGAAGATTTCCACATATCAAATAGTCCAGCCATTGTTAGAAGGTGGGGATAGCTTATTTCCTTAACGTTATTATCAGTAAAGTCTTGGGAAAACACATCAGGACTATTCTCTTGAGGAAAATGAATGAAATATGGTTGTTTTTGTTTGCTGTTTATTGCTTTCCATTCATAAAACCTTAAACAAAAAATAATAATAAATATGAAAAATTTATAATTGTACTTACACTAACAATAGTTTTTTTTTATTGTGTTTATTTCAAAGGTATTTAATATTTCTAACCTGTTTATTATGAAATATAAATAGCCTTTTTAAATATTATTCCTAATTCTACTCTAATTTTACGTCAAAAAAATTAATATAACTAAAACAAAAGTTAAACTGACAAAAAGCATTTAACACAATCAGTTCTAAATCAGCTTTTGGTAGAAATACTTCTGCCTAATGATTTTTCAATTACCTGGTAATAAACAATCACTGACATTGGGTGATAAACTTCATTATTTTACTAGTTATTACTAATACACTTTGTGATTTTGCTGACATTTTATATATGAAATGAATTGAGAAATTAATTTGAATTTAATATGTTTTAAAAGAGATTAAGTATAAAATTTTAAAAATTGTACTAATTTTGGGTCCTTGTTGTTTCAGCACAGTCAAATTTGTTTAAAATCCTACAGCTACTTGGTTTTTTAATGAAATTTTAGTCAAAAATTGATGACGATTTGAAAAGCATTTAAAGAGAAAGGAAACAAATATAAACATAGTTTAATGCACCCTGCTTCGGAAACCAGTTGATTTATTCTTACTGAAACATTTGTAACAGTGTTAACTAATTTTATTCTCAGATTCCACCATACCGTTGCTGCAAATACTAGTTATTTTGAAAACATTGTGTGCAACAATTAATATCCAATTCTTGTAATAAATGATAGATTTTAAATACAAAAATGGATGACTTCAAGTGGCATGAGAAGACAGTGATTGCAAATTTCTTTTTGGATCTGCATAAATAATGGAATTTTACAAGAATGAAACGTAGGAAAGAAATACTTTCTAGTAGTGTGAGATTAAACAGCTGTAAGGACTAAATATGAACTATGATGTGATTTTCTAGTTTTAAATAGGAATATAAAAATGCTCACTATAAAAAAAGTTTTAATAAAAGGGAACTAATAACTAACCCTTCAGCCAGAATAACACATCGCTGAGCAGCTGTAACAGCTCCTCTATAGGTCGGTTTTTCTAGCATGCCTTCAATGCGACAATTATTGGTTTTCAAAGAAAAACTCTCCAGTGAGCCTCTGTACCAAGATGGAATGAATCCCCATCTCATTGGAGTTATAACGAAATCTGCTCTTTCTTTAGGTTCAAACACAGATTTATTTACAATAACTGGTCTGAGAAAAAAAATAAATAAAAAACAAGCATTAGTAATGAGCATCAGTTTAAAAAACTAAATGTTACAATACATATTAAATATCCATAATAATCATTAATTAAAAAATAAAACTTGAAATTACATAATAATAAGATAACAAATAAATCATCTTTGATCACGTGTTGCGTTCAATAAAATCTTGCAGTTAACCAGACTACAAGTTAAATTATTAAATTATTATAGAAATTTATATCTGTACAAATTAATTTCACAATAACATTTAACACGTTTTCAAATTTCATGCTAAATTTTTCATGAGGAAAACAAGAACATAATTATTAATATATATACTTTTTTAAAAAGTAAAGAAAAAAAAAAGAATTGATAAAATTGGCAGTCTCATATTTATAAACACACTCAGTTAAATATGTTTTTCATTTCAGATTTCATTCAAATAAAAAAAAAAAATCAGTAGATTTTTATTAATATAAACAAAAAGTAATATTTTTTACTTCTAAAAGTAGGTCCTTTTTTTAATTATTCAAACATACAATCATACATTTAAATATGTGCCTTAAATAATAAACAAAGAAAACTTTTTGTTGGTTTAAGCCACCTTAAGAAACCCCAGAGCTCAAGAGCTTAGGGATATTTCTGTAAGGATACCTGTTTACTCTAATTAAAAAAAATCAAGGCACCAAAGGGTGTTTTAATTTAGAAAATAAAAAATATTGTGCAGTGATTTATATGGAATAGGCTGCAAGTTATACCAGAGTTGGTTTCTTTCTGAAATATATATTTTTAGCATCTCGCGTGTTACCTTGTGATAGATGAAGGTTGACATAGTCGATAAATAAATCCCCACAATGGTGACCTGGATGTGATATGAACATGCCAACATTAATGGGAGTCCCACATTAAACAGTTGATTTGCTTAAAAATATATTGCTCAAATAGAAAAAAAAAAGATCCGGTGAAGTAAATAAAGTCTCCTGGTCAATAAACAATATTGAAGAAGAAAAAAAATGAGCAAAATGCTATAAACAAAAAAAAAATAAAATAATAATAATAAAATAAGCAAAATGCTACAAAAATTGAAGGAAAAAAAAATTTGCGAAAATTATATGAACAGCATGAATCATCCAGTGGTAATCGTTCATCGAATTCTATCCCAGATAAAATTCTGAAAGGGGAGTAATGCCGCGTAACTACCACTGCAAATATTAAATACGAATTCACTAGTATATAAGACATGTTAACTTGATTCTATTTTGAGGTGCCTTCTGATAGATGAAGGTTGACATAGCCGATAAACAAATCCCTTCAGTTGTCATAAACGTCTACAATTTTTTTTGCATTGTCACTAAGAATATTTTCGTATCGTAATAGGACATGCCAATCACAATTTTAAAGGTGTAAAATAAGTTTTAAATTTGTAATTTATAAAAAAAAATAATGAGAGGTTTGCCAAAGTGTATTTACAAGCTATACCTATGATGAAATTTCATGCCGTGATCTGCAGCGAAATAATCACTAAGACATGACAACTTCTGGGCAGCAACCCACGAGAAACTAAAAAAAAAAAACATCACAGATGGGAACCAACTCGAATGGTATAATTTGCAACCATCTCTGGGCAAATCTTTATATGTTTCTCTTTTTAAATTTACAATTTTAAAATTTATTTGGTGCTTTGAAAATTGTAGTTGGTGAGCCGGACCCCCAACTACACAGAATATCCGCGTTACAGAAATATTCCCTTATGCTTTCGACTTGGTTCCCTTCCATAATATGTTTTTTAGTTTTTCATGGGCAATTGCTTGGAAGTTGACAAAACTTGGTGGTTATTTTGGCGCAGATCCTGATATAGAAATATTTCTCAAGGAAACCTTCTGAACCGTCTTTTGGCATTTGAAGCATATAAAAATCTGATAATTATAAGGATGAAAACAACTTTTATACTTACGATACTTGGCTAGGAGCAAGATTATGGCTGGGTTGATAGTTTTGCCAATCATATTTTTCAACCCACTTCAGATCAGTATTGTTATTAGAATAACGACGAGTAGCTCGCTGAATCCCACATTTATCCAGAGAGCTAAAAATTACAAAACTGCATTAAATGGAATCGCACCACAACATTTCCAAAATTGTATAATTTAAATCACAGCTACATATTTCTGATATAAGATTTGAGTATTTATTTCTTGAGTTAGTTCCAGCAAAACTAATAAACTCATAACTTACCATGCAGTCCTCCCACACATAATTAAATAAGAGCATTTATGTGATTGCAAACAGCTAATAAAACGTAATACAAAAAGAAAATAAATGAAATACTGTTAAATGTTATTGTCTTAAAATAAGCAGACGATTCTTTTTGGCGCTAATAAAGATATTAATGCCAGATTTGATTTATACAACATAAGTAAAAACGAATGATTAACTGCTGAATAAAATTAGCAATGTATATTAAAGAAAGGCTAGCTTTGTGTATCAATAAAATTGATTCAAAAATATCATATGCAATTTTCTATTCCAGTTTGATCTAATAAAGAGAAATGAATATGGAAAAAAAGGAAGCGAAAAGTAAAAATTTAATGTTCTTAAAAATAAAGTGACTAAAATCAGTTTTTAGTTTAATCAGTTTATGTTTTTAAAGTGGGATTTTTAAGTATAAAATTGTGTTCAGTCGCACTTATTAAGTGTATTCTGATTATACAGCATTACCAAGTTTCTTAAGTTTCTGGTAGTTCCTTCGTTCATTGTAATATGTAAATATTTAGATTAGGAGAGGACTTGGAACTGTGAGGGATGTATTGGGGAAATAAAAAACTCATTGAGACCAGTATAACTTAAAGTTTGATGAGTACATCATTTGAATAATAAATAATTACGTCAATCAATTGTATTTTCTATAGTTTTAGGGAATATGGAATTCCTGACTAAAATAATATTAAGAATATTTGTCTAGTTTCGGAATGAATACGAATTTTGATATTAACTGTTAATACTTATCTTATACCTACTGAAATTCAATACTCATTTCTTGGTAAGTATTTATGTTATGGTGAACTTAAATTTATACTGAGATTTGGGTAACAATTTGAGATCTTATTGTAAATTCGATTGACATTTTCATTGCAACTCCTTCAATGTGTATTTTTCAAATTGATATAAATCGTATATATTTTAATTATACCTTTATTTAAAAAGTTATTTCTGATAAAGATGCCGTAATGTTTTATTTATATTTGTAGAGGAATTTCTGAAATTTAGATTGCATACCTCAAAATGTCTAATGAAATCAGAAGTGGTATTTTCGAGCATATGAAAGAAGTTTTGAAAAACTATGAAGCTTTAAGAGGTAGTTCCATATGATGTATTATAATTGATTTTAATTTAATATTAAGTATTCTTAATGAATAAATCCTGTGCTTTTCTAATTTGTATTTTGATGTTTAACCCCAAAGGTTGCATTAGTTTTTCGATATTCTAGGGATAAAATATTTCAGCACTAAGTAATTTAAACAAAACAAAGAGATCTTTTCGTGCTTGTATCCATTTGCGCCTTAGACAAAAGGTTTTTTTACTTTCAAAAACTTAAAAACATTATTTTTTTTTTCCATCTGGATGAGCTACAAGTTTTCCCCCACAAGTTTTTCTATTTTGAGTTCGTCCATCTCTATGTTATTTATTTTCTCTCGAAAACTTGGCGATTATTTTGGCATTGATGATAATATGGAGGTCTCCTTTAAAAGAAAAGTTGCTACAATAATCTAAACTATACAAATGCAAAATTAAGCTGCTAAAAATCATAATTATTTTAAATTACATTTATAATTTTGTAGAATGTTTATAACTGAAGTTGATTTGAAACTATAAAGAACTGTTATAGTGTTTGAAACACTAATAAAATTAAATTAGTTTTTAACTAGATAAATAAAATAAGTTAATAAAAATATGCAATTTTTTTAAAATTAGGTAACAGTATTAAATGTGTAAATTAATAAAAGTGTGGAACACGAACTTATATTTCATAAAAGAAGTTTGTTATTACATAAATGCTGGTATTGATTTCATTATACTATTTCAAGTTTGGATTTTTTTATGGGTAAAATGAATGTAAACTGCAGTCAAATGACTTAAAAAATTTGTGAGAAGTTTCCCATTCTGTATTGTATTTTTTTTGAATAACATAATAATAAGCTCTTTTATTGTATTCTAAAGCAATCAAGTCTAACTCTGAACTTAGCTTGATTGAACATCTGTAGAGTTAACGGCAATGTAACTTTGAAATTCATTTTAAATCTATTTTGAATTGGTTGAGGTAACAGAAGTATAATTTTGAAAACTTTAAAAATGCTTAATTTAAGACAGGGATATTTCTGACTACATATTGTGGCGTAACTACCGCTATGAAAATTAAACATCAATTCACTGGTATGTAAGTCATGCTAACTTGATTCAATCACGAGGTACCTTTTGATAGATGAAGGTTGGCATGGTCTGTAACTCCGTCCCCACATTGGTGACCCGGACGTGATTTGAACACACAGTAACGCCCACTTCGATCTGGTAATGCCTACTTCGATGGATGATCCACATTGAACAGTTCACTTGCTACTTGTGACTGTGATCTTATCCATCTCCTCACGCTGTTGCTACTCAGTTTCACCTCGATTAACCACAACGTCTGCTTGCATACACTCAACTGCTAATGACAACACAGGAGCGACTGTGACTGTGAAGTTAATACACCTCTCACATTCAGCACTCAAAAACTGGGTGACCTTAAAACCAGCTCTCCCGGTCTTTCAAAAGTACAGCAACTAGTGGTATCCGTTCATCGAATTCTATCCCTGATAATATTCTGGTGGGGGAGTATTGTGACGTAACTACCGCTATGAAAATTAAACTGGTTTATAAGACATCACTGGTTTATAAGACATGCTAACTTGATTCAATCACGAGATACCTTTTGATAGATGATGGTTGGCATGGTCTGTAACTCCGCCCCCACAATATACTGTCTTTGTATAATTGCTTACATCTAATTTTTGTATTTACATTTGACAAATTATATTTTTTATAACTTAAAACAATTTTTAAATTGTAAATGTGCAAGTTGAAATTTGTTTCAGGTATTCCAGTAAATAAGGATGAAAAGGTGTTTTGGGATGCTGTCATAATTTCAGCTTGTGACAGTGAACAAGAAAATGGCTACAATCTTCAAATTATTGAAAAGCGGGAAAGAGGAGAAGTTCCCTTAATGGTTCCTTTTCACGTCTTCTTTGATCCTCCCGGATATAAAATTGGTGAGGTTCAGTTTTTAAACAAATAGGGAAAAGGAATAGGCTTAATACTTGAATGAATCTGAGCAGTGATATCACATACTATAAATGATACGTATGAAGCACTATAAAACTAAATATGCTAGTTTGTTACTTTGTAAAAATTCTTTAACTCACAGGAGCTTTACAATGCTGTGGAAACATTGCTATGTTAATTCCATCGAAACCACTTTTCAATAAAAAAAAATTGATCATGCTCATACAAAAGATGCTAATAGTTTTGACAGATAAAATTTCCAAAACTTTTGTAGCAAGTGGAAAGGCTGTTTCCATTAATATAGCCAAGTATTTGTATTATTATGCACCTTGAGTAATTTTGTTCTAAAATTACTGAAATCCACAGTCACTGCAGTATTAAATTTTCATTGCGTTATGAATTTTTTAAAAAAAATGAGTATACTAGTTGTATATTTTTTGTTTTATAATCATATTTATTTTAAAAATCAGTATTCTACCAAAAAATTTAACATACCAAGAATTAGTTAGCATTTTTCATTAATAATTTTATCGGAAAATGGCATGGAAAAAATTATTAAAATTGAAAATTTGTTAAATTTACCTAAAATTTGTTTTTCAATAACATTTGAATAATGTTAAATGAGGTAAAATGTCTATGTTAATTAAGATGTGTCTTTGTCTATTGAAAAATGTCAAAGTTTTTTTTTTGAAAAATTATAAAATCCTTAAATATTATAAAGAATTTTGGCTAGATTACTTACACAGTTTTTTTAATAGCTAAGACTCTTGAGATTTTTTTTTAACATATGAAGAAGTAATTAATGAAAGAATAAGACAATTAAAAAAAATATTTCCTTGTATAACAAGACTCACTAAATGGGTCTACTTTTTGTTGCGAGTTATCGTTATTAATTTGCATAAAAACCACAGTTTATTGATCAAAAAGGAAAGTAATTTTATTTCTTTTTCTGAAATTATATGTTATTTTAAAACATTTTTATGTGGTCATGAATTTGATTAAATATAGTATAGTATTTTTAAATTTGAACTGTGCTTAAGTTTTAAACTTTTAAATTCCTTAAAATTGAATTTTTGCATTTTTTTGGTGCTATTTGATTTTTATGTTCTTCATAATTTTTTTGTTAGTGTTATGTTAACTTACACAGCACACTTTTCTATTAGTTTATATTTTTTATATTTTTGTGAGGGAGCAAAATAATAGTACAGTACAGAACCCGTTATCCGGAAATCAGAAAACCGGAAAACCAAGAAACCGGAACGAAATTCAATAAATTTTCTCGCCATTTTCAAAAAAAAAGTTTTTTTTTTCCTCATAAGATTTTAGGATTTTTCTTTCTATTTCGATTCTATTTTCTATTCTTTCTATTTTCTTTCTACTTCTATTTGGAAATAATCATTAGTGTATTAATTCATCGTTTTAAGATTATTTCCAAATTTTTTTTTTAGTTTATTTTAACAATAAAAAAAAACGGCTTTTTGTAGCGATTCAGAAAACCGGAAAAATCAGTTATCCGGAATAGCGATGGTCCCGATCGTTCCGGATAATCGGTTCCCTACTGAATAAGACATTTTATTTATTTATTTAGTACTTTCTAAAATGCAATATCTTAAAATTTGTACTAAAGCATTTAAAAAAACTGTAATTCATCATCAATCAAAAAAAAAAAAAAAAGATTTATTAGGCATTAAGCCTTAGTACCTTTTTGTAAGGGTTTCTTTCTAGAAGTACTGCATGAATAATTATCTTTGAATTATTTAATGCGTAATACCAAATAGTTCAAACATAATATATTGTTATATGATAGAGAATAATTTTTATATAACAGAAGATAATGTATGGTTTTAGGCTGTGGAGGCTCAACAATGTATATATTGAGCAAAATTTCAAAAATCTATGGAAAGGAAATGTCTAGCATGCGATTCCTAGTCATACCAGCTGGAGGATATAGTCAACGTCTACCAAATCTGACTGTATTAGGAAAGCTTTTCAGTCCTCTTCCATTTGGAAATCAGCGCTATCAAATGTTGGATCTGATCTTAGCAACATATTTACCATTTCTGAAGCGCATGCCACCTGGTGTTTTTTTAGCAAGCTCTGATGCCATAATCAGCTACAACATCCATGATGATGGTAACAAGCATTGAGTATTAAGTTTTTTTTTATACTTGTATATGAAATAAATTTTATATTAATATCATCAACCAAATATGGTTAAAAAATGTCATAGTGGTTTAGGCACTGAATTTATATTGCATAGGAGCGAGACTCTGTTCCTGAGTTGCCACTAGGGCAGATTGAAATTCACTCAGCATAATGTTGATGGACACCAGCTTGTTTAGGAAGTAAAGGCAGTTTGTCATGTCACTCTTCATATTGTTGGCCTTGAAATTTGAGGTTTTGAATTTTATGGCCCACTTGTGGAACTATAGTGTGGCTTTCAGAAGAAATTCTTCAGACACCCATCTCGCCTCGTGGTGGGTACTATGATTACGAGGAAAAGACATTTTGAATAGGGGTGTGGGGTGAATAGTTTTGTCTTAATCTTGACATAGGTTGTCGTCAGTAAACCAATTTTCATCTTTTTTCCTCCATTTCACCCCCATTTGAAATGTGCTCTCGCTTGTTACCATAGTAGCAGACAGCCCCAGACTTTTAGTCTGGAAGAGTATTCCTCAAAGCTGCACTATAGTTGTGGTTTGGGTGTTTTATTTTTTTCAATATTAGCATTAGTATTTATTTGTGAGAATGGCAGTGAATGTTGCATATTATTTCAAAAAGTTTAATGCCATTTTTCTTTACAATGTAATTGTAATTTTTTTTTCCTTCTGAAATAATTGTCATTGTAATTCCACAAAGTGCACCAAAATAGCTTATATTTGTGATGTTGAACTCTCTCATTCTTCAAGAATTTTTCAGGAAAGACTCTAGATTTCTTCTGGAAAGACTCTTAGAAATTTTATCTTATTTAATGTATTTTTGAATTACACTTTTGTTTTTATTTCTGCTACTTGTTTCTTATACTCCATTTTTAAAGGACCCCATACAAATCTTATGGTAATTAATTCTGTCAAATTGACTGAAATTTTAATATATTTTAGTTCTAATCATTCTGATTGAAAGTTCTCATTGACAGGAAAACCGAAAATTGATAATTTCCGAGATACTTAGCCTCAAACAAAAATAGTAATTCTCAATTCTCTAATACCGTCATGATATTAGCATTAACCAATGTGCACCACATGGAGGTTGTCAGATCAGACTTTGCACATTATAACTCTTATAAGGGCAGATCGTTTTAACAAAAAGTATGTATACTGGGATGTGTACAAATATATATAGTTACATATAAATATAAGTCATCAAGTATTTGAATAGTACTTACATTTTGTTGGGGAGGTTGCTGTTTCTTAGTTACATTCTATTTACTTAGTAGACGGATATTTGGTGTTATTTCTATACTCTGCTTATCTAATGCTGTATGCAAGCATGCTTCAAACATCTTTCATGTAGTGATCGTTGCCCATAATTTTTTATGTTTGAGGCTTGATATCTTAGAAACGATCCATTTTTGGCCTTTGTGCCAATATGAACTTTTGCTCAGAATATTTTGAATTACAACATATTAAATTTTTAACCTGACAGAAAATTAATTTTCATAAGATTTGAGAGAGGTCCTTTCTGTTAGAACAAGAAAAATTTTACTGTTGTAATGTTACTTGAAAGGAATCTGTTCTTTTTCATAGCTATTAAATTTTTAAAATTATGTCTGGAGATGTAAAACAAAAGTTTCTCTTGAATTCTTTTGTTTTTTACTTAAGAGCAAAAGGTTGAAAACAAGATTTAAACAGATTTCAAATAATTAAAATTAAGTTTATCATCAATAAATTTAGGATAATTCTAAGACAAAATGTTATACACAATGTAAAACTCAGCATCATCAATGACAAAAAAACTATTAAAATAAAAAGTTTTCAAGTGTTTAAAACTGTCATCACAGTAGAACCTCGATTATCCGACAAACATGGGTTCAGGAATATGTCGGAAAATTGAAATTATGGGATAATCAGTGATGACTGTTATGAATCTCTCATACATGTTAATTGCAATCAGCTGTTTACACTATTTTACTTTGAAATGAAGTACATTCTAATTGGCTATTTTTAGTAACTGATTGATCATTTGATAAATTTTCAGTCTGCTGGTAGGTAAAGTGATGCCATATTAAACACCTCAATTTTCTTTTTCTGGAAGTCCAATTTTGGAATCCTAGTCACAGCAGTAATTGAATTAACCTGAATTAGAAGTAGAGTTGAATGACTCTAAGTCCAAAAATGAATTAGTAATTGCATAATTTAAGTTGTAATAAGGATGAAATGTATGTTGGGACACATTTAAAGTTTGTGAAAAAAAGGTGTTGGATAACTAAAGAATTTGATAATCAGGCATCAGATAATCAGGGTTCTTTTGTATATATATATTAAAAGTGTAAAAATTAATGTTAAATTTGTTGTTAATGAAATATTAAACTACTCTTCAGAAAATAATAAGTTATTATTTTTTTAAATTTGTGCGATTATTTATATTTTTATTCTTTATTAGTTTTAATTAAGTTTTTAGTCAGTTATTCATATCTTCATGTTTGAAAGAAATTAAATTGTTATTTTTTTTAAACGAAGAAGGATTTATCAATACTTTATAAATTGCTCAAAATAAACAACTAAAAGTAAATATTATATATTTTATTTTTATTGCTAAAAATTTGAGTATCAAATTTAATTAATTTTTTCTAATATAGTTATTTTTTAAAATAATTCATGCAAAAAAAAGAATTTTTTTACAAGATTTCTTTCTTAATTATTTTTTTATGTGGTTTTAGATGAATGGACATTCGAAAATGGCGGATTTACCGCTCTCGCTCACCCTTCACCAATTTTAATTGGAACTTCTCATGGTGTTTATGCGATACCTGAAAATCAAGATTTCAGTAAAGGTTCTACCATTATGAGCAATTGCTTACGTGTTCTGCAGAAGCCTACAATTGAAGAAATGCGAGAAAAGGGTGCTGTTGTTAAAAATATTTCTATACCAGGTATTTGTCATAAATTCTATCAAATAATATTTAAAAATGATAAAATTTGTTTTTGTTAGTCATTAAAGGAATTTAAATTTTATTGATATCTAATTCAAACGATAATGATTTGCTGTGAAACCTTATCCTAGGAACACTTCTTTAGGATGGCCACCTCACAATACGGACAATTTTCCAAATCCCTGTTTTCTATGAATAAACCTTAATGTGTGTAGGCGCTCTCTTGACTGGACACAAACAGTAATTTTTTATTGACAAAACTATAGAGTAAGGAGGGAGTTTGGTCAGAGATAGAGATAAGGATGTTTGTAACAAAACAATAGAGTGTAAGGATTTTTATGGTTGGGGAGAGGAGAAAAAAGGAAATTGTAAAAATAATTTTTTGTTGTTGTATAATTATGATCCCAAGTTAGTTGTGAAAAAAAAGGACTGAAATTTGTGATAGGTGCAAAAAATATTTACAGGAACTCAAATTATATTTATCTATTCATAATAATATATTTTTAATAATTAGAGTTTTGGTATTAAATATTGTCTAAGTAATTATCGTTTATGTTTCATCATTCATCACTTAAAACTAGTTTGTACTTTGAAAATGTTCTTCAGCTTTTGCGCTATTTGTTTGCACTGACAGACATCAAACAGGCACTTTGGGATAGTATTCTGTTTTATATTTCCAAAACTGGATCAGTTTCCCTCTCTCAATATCTAGTTTATTGACCGTTTCCTTTGAAAGCATTAAATTTGTCGATTTGTTTGTCCTCAAATATTGAAATACTCTTAAAAATGTCATTTTGTTATTCATCTATTCTCTTAAATCTTTTATAAATTATTGATGATCAATTTTTGGGGCTGCAGAAAAATACTTATTGCTATTAAATGTAAGTATTAAATTGAAAAGTCAACAACAACAGAAATCCTGAAATTTTAAATTATTTTAATAGAAGCATTAAAAAATTAGCTGATTCTATAAAAAATTGATAAATTACAAAAACTCTGGTTGCAGACCATATGGAATGAATTCGCAGCTCTTTCTTCTTAAATCCAAATTTATCTACACCCCCAACATATTCAGATAGAGATTATTATTGTATTAAGTTAGCTTAATCTAACACACACAAATTAAAATTTACAAATATAATTTGGTTACAAAATTATACATAAAAACTTCACGTTTAAATTTAAGTTGAATTTTATACAATACTAAAATTTAGAATAAATTTCTATACAGTTAAGCCTGTAATCAAGTAAAAAAAAAATTTTTTTTTTCTTTGCAGTGTTTTCTCAATTTAGCTTTTTAATTTTCAGTAGAAACAAGCTCAGAGATGTTAGGTGTACCAGCAATTTCACTACTTTTTTGTTGTTTTGTATTTGAAAAAAAAAAAAAAACTTAGATGAAAAATAATATGCAGATGCTGTGATTATCTGCAGCACCCTCTGCCATGCTGAAGAATTTTGCTATCAGACTTAATGATTCATTGCATTGTTGTGAGTTCTTTATTGCTTGATTGTAATGTGCATTGCAACAAATAACTTTTTTCAAGAACCTAATTGGTCCCGATAGAATACAGAAAGATATTGCCACAATTTGTGTAACATGTATCATAATTCAGGAAAGGTATTTCAGATTATAAATTGAATTCAGATCTTTTTATTAGTAACTCATTTATAGAATTGCCAATAATAGTTTTGGAGGATATTGAAAAACTGAGACACTTTTGTCTGTCCTAAAATGATAAAATTGGAATTATAAATATTGCATGTAATTAAAAGGCATCACAAAGATCTAGAGTTTTGTGGCTATTTAAAACAAATTTTTATTAGATATTTTTGAATGGTTGGATCAAGGTTAAATGTAGTATGAGAGTTTTGTAAATACCTTTTTATTATTATGTAAGTTGTCTTTTATTTTGAATCATGAAAACTTTATTAAATTTAAATAAATCTTTGTTGTTTATTATTTCTAATTATGTATTTATTATGTATTTATTAACTATTATGTATTTATTAACTATCATATTAATTTTAAATAGCTTATCGCATTAAACTTTCAATTAGTATGTCCTGTTAAGCTAAGCAGAATTGGTTTCGAGAGTGTAGGTTTTACTATATTAATATAATTCTATTTTATTAAGTATTAGTGGCTATTTAGCTTCCATAATGTTGTTGAAATACATTTAACCTTTATAATTTTCCAAATAAAGCCATATAAAGTTTATTTTTTTTACACTAATTTAAATTGACATGCTCATAAAAATTATAAAAATTAAATTAATTTCAAAAATGTCTGTCAATAGAAATAGTACAGATAGTTTGTAATCAATAATTTGAGGAAATTGTAGGTGAAAAATCTGTTAGTTAATGTGAAATTAATTTTAAATAAAAAATATTCCATAAAACTTTAAAAAATAGCATCTCTAAAAAACGCTTTTTAGATTTTATAATTGTTAAACACAATTTTAAGGTTCAGCAAATAAACTTTATATAGATATATTTATTTATTTGAAATAGTGTCAACATGTATTATAAGATTTTAATCAGTTATATAAAATTGTATTGAAAATTTTTGGTATATCTGAGTTGGGCACTGACTTTGAAAGAATTTTTATTTATTTTATGTAACAAAACTCTTGGAATGTTTTAAATATTTATTTAAAGAAAAAAATACGTTTTAATTAGGCAACACTAAAATGCAATTTTAAATTTTGATGGAAATACTTTTTATTTTATTTTATTGAAACTTAAAATTATAAATATCTACTTAAAAAAAGTTTTTTGGCTAAAGTATGTGTCGTAATTTTGTACTTTTTTTTTTTTTACAGAGTTAGCATTATTGGGAAAAATTAACCCTATGTCACATAGTACTTTTAACGATTTTTTTTTTAATATTTTTTTTTTTACATAGCTTGAATAATAATCTTTTTGTTGAAATTTTTTTTCTACTTTGCTAATTTCCAAACTTTTTTCTTCCAGGGTTAGACAATGAAGAAATAATCTTTAGTGATAGTGCATTCTTTTTTGATCATTCTGTTTCTAAAATATTATTGGATATTTATAAAAAACACAAGCCAATAAAATGTGAGCTTAGTTCTTATGGAGATTTCTTACAGCCACTTGGATTAGCAGCTAGTCCATCTTACATAATGGACAAAGGACCAAGTGGGGAGCTAACTTCTCTGCAAACTGTATTGTATATGAATCTCTTTGGTACCAACCTTTCAATATTTGTTTTAAAACATTCTAATTTTCACCATTTAGGAACAATGAAGGAATATCTTCAAACTTTGTGCGATGAAACTAGATTTTCAGAAGCCTTTTCACTTTCAAAATTTTCTCTTTGTGCTCCATCAATAGAAAACATCAAACCAATTTATATACATGGGACTATAATTAATTCAATGATTCATCCATTATCTGTTATTCCGAAGTCCACACTTTTGGAATATTGTGATATTCAGATATCAATAGAGGCAGGGCAGAACTCTATTATCAGTAATATTCATCTGCCTGGATATTCCATTCAGAAGTTACCTTTACCTATACCTGATAATACTTTAATACATACAATTCCTCTTAAGAAAGGTTTTGTTACTGTTGCTTTTCATATTCATGAAGATATTAAAAAGACATACCAAAAAACGAATTGTTGCAAAATGAGATATTTTGGAAAAGAGCTTAGGAGGTTTGTGAAGTATGACAACGCATTGTTCAGTAGTGACTGTGATAGTGTTTCGTTATGGGAAACTAAACTGTTTCCTGTATGTGAAACTCCTGGTAGTTCCTTTAAATATACTCTTGAACTGGTATTGAGTATTATATTAACTGACCAAATGTGTTCTGATTTTTCTATGACCAGACAAGGCGTAGAATGGGTTTCTATGAAAGATATTTTAGCGTGTAAAGACACTGAAAAAATGATAGTTTATCAGGAAAATCTGTGTGAAAAAACTTCAAGTATTTTGAAATAAAGCTAAAACGTTACTAAGTCATAGGTGAATTATATTAATGTTAAGAGATTATAAAATATTTATTTTTTGTATATGTTTTTAATATTGTACCTTGAATTGTAAATCACTAATTTCTTAAGCTTGCATTTAAAGATGTGGATAAAATATATAGCACCAATTCATAATCGATTCCTGATAGTTGCGGTGTGTGATCAATCAGCTAACAACAATTTTCAAATAAATTAATACTTTTTTTTATCAAATGAATTTGATTGAAGTAACACACAAAGTACTGCTCAAAGCAAACATAAAAAAATCCAATTAATTTAAAGAATAAAATAAAAGAAGCTACTAATCTCAGGGGAAGAGGAAAAAGTAATTTTTTCACGCTTAATTTCCAAAGCTCAAACTGATGTTATGCTGAAAAGATTTTTCACTGACTAGTTGGATAATGCACCTTTCTTTTGCTAATAATAAATAAAGCTTAATGCTAACTTCTTTGTAAATGGGGTATTAAGCTCATCAAAAGAGTTGTTCAAAAGTCAAGAGTATTTAAAGGAAAGAAAATCTAGGTGAGAAGAATAAATATAAATAGAGCTAAATTTTAGCGTTTGAGGAGAACCTTAGCAGACAAGCTTTGTTTCCTTTTCAATTGTAAACGTTTTCATTAAAAAAAAACCTCTATGTTGTTGCTTGTTTTATATTATCTTTTTTATTAAATCCAATTAATTTACTTTTAGAATTTAAGGCTAATTTTTTTTGTACTATTTTTATTTTTATATCTGCACTATACTTCACATTAAATGGAAAAAAATCAACTTGTGTTTATTCATGATAGAAAAAGTTCAAATTTGAATTATTATCTGCTCACATTTGTTTATTTTTTTAAAATTATGTATACTTTATCAAGCTAAGTATTCTTTAGTCAATTAAAAATCATTCATTCTATAAAAAAACGTTGTATGAAATTGGTGTTATTTGCTATCCTCTATGTTTTATTTGTTACTTTTTTTAATTGAATAACGTTTGTTCTGATGTTTGTTTGCATTAAAGATATATTATCTGGGAAAATCTATTTTCCAAACTTGTAGGAAGTCCTGACAATGTAGGACTTTCCATACATGCACAGATTTGTATATTTTTTTTCTACGAAGAATTGTAATTAAATAATTTATGGAGCTTATTTTGCAGCCTTTCATTTTTAATTGTTTTTTTCTTGTGCATTTTAATTTTTAAAATTTGTACTATGCAGGGGTGATTGTACTCCGGAAAAATCCGGATTTCCTGATTTTTCCCAAATTGCACTCCTGAAGATTCCGGAAATCTTTGGTCCCGAAGTTTCAAGAAATCATCGATCACATTTATGTATAAAAATTCTTGTATATTTTATTTAAAAATATTAGAAAGGCCATGGCACAGAATAGATTGACAAAATGGCAAAAACTTTTTGGGACGGCCTTGGCCTGTCATAGGCTGTAGTGCCCAAGGAGAAGAACTAGAATTTATACTTGGTATCTTTCATTTGTAAATATTTTTTCTGGTAGAATAATAAATGTGATTAGAGATAAAAGTAAACTTATACATAATTATTCATTTAAGTTATGCTGTATATAATTTATTTAGAATTCAATGTTTTGAAAATATTAATGATTTAAATTTATAAAGACATTATGCGTCTTTAATGATTTTACTCAAGAAATTTTCCGGATTTTTGAGTTGGACTCACAATCAGCCCTGACTATGAAGAAAAAAGATTGCACTCTAGATTTTATGAAATTTTTTAAAATCTAGCTCAAACATATCTTTTTCTAACTAAATATTTTTCTAACTAAATATTTCTAAATTAAGTTTTTTTTCTCTGTTAAAGTAATAGATTATTAATTTTCCTACAGCTCTTTTTTCCATTAATGTCAATTTTTTTTAAAAAAAAGTCCTTTTTATCTTTTTGAAGCTTGAACACTGCTACTTTTTTTTGTATTAAAACTAATATATCAAAATTCAAAGGATGAAATGCACTGACTGTATAATGCAGTCAGCCGATGAATGTACATCTAAAGAATTTTTATGACTTGGCCATATGGAATCTACCAAGGGCCCATATCCAGATGGTCTGATTTATTAGATAAGAGTTTCTTCATTCTGAACTGTACAAATAGGAGAACCATTGCTGGTAATAGGTCAAGATGGAAGAGAATCCTTGAGGAGGCCAGGGCCTACCTTGGGCTGCTGCTCCAATGATGATGATGATAAAGCAATTATTATTTTTAAGAATAGTTACAGCTTTTACTTAAAAACGTGTTCTTAATATCTCCAGGATTAACATTAAAAGTGCTTTTATGATTATGATATAAAAAAATATTTTTAAAAACCACGTTTTTGTAGTGGAGAATAATATTTAAAAAACAAAAATTTGAAAAACGAAAAGCGTGGGGCGCATAAAATACATAACAGTTACAGTATGTGTGCTCATGAGAATATGTGTATGTATGTCTGTAATTGTATCTGAATGTGGATGTGTGTGTGGTGCATGTGTATGAGTAAGAAAATGTGTATATGCGTATATATACTGTTATGTATTTCATGCGCCCCACGTTTTCCGTTTTTCAAATTTTTGTTTTTTAATTATTATTCTCTACTACAAAAACGTAGTTTTTAAAAATATTTTTATTTTTTTTGTACTCACTTCCAAAATCTCAATTTTTTCACTCACTGTACACAAAACTTTTCAACAGACATGTGACATTAATTTGAAATAATCGAATCGACAACAAAAGACAATAGCGAAAATATTAATTTTTCTTTAATTTTATTTTACTTTGTATGTCTTTTTTCTCTTCATTTTCATGCATTGTCATCCAATTCTGAACTATGTGCCAAATTTGACGTCTGTAGCTAGTCGGGAAGTTAGTTTAAAATCGATTGCAAAATTCCACCCAAACAGACATACACGAAGGCAAGTTGATATAAATGTGGTAAAATGATTTTGATGTAACAAATATTGGAAAAAAATGAGGAAGACTTATATCATGAGGAAGATTTATATCATAGACAAAATCATCTTAAATAAATAGATTTCGCCATGAGAATTTGCAAGATTAGATTTCAAAATGCACTTTTTATTGTTAAAATATTAACCGCTTTGCTTATTCCTCGAAGAAAAAAAATGATTTTATAAATTGAGCAAAAGTTACTACTAAAGTTCAAAGTGTATGGCACCTTTTCAAAGATTGCCACTCTTAGAAAATATATTTGTCTAAAAGAATAAATTTGCCACAATGAAAATAACTAAAATTTGTTTTAAATATATAATAAGTTATGTTAAAATCTTACCCACTCATCTCGAATAAAACATTTTACTACAATCTGTGGAATTTTTTTTTACTCAAATGCAAAGTATATGCCATTATTTTGAAGATTGATACTCTTAAGAAAAAATCTGTAACTTAATAAAGGTTTGATGGGGAAAATTTGCAAAAGTTTTTATAAGTCCTTTATTTATAATGTTGGAAGTTTAATCTCTTATTCCTCTTTATTATCGACATTCTATTGCCATTTATGAAATAAGTTTGAACTCGATATATACGACACCATGTTGTTGTTTTTAATGGCACTTGGACAAGCCAAACTCGCCAGTTACTGGCCTTGTGCTAATTCAGTCAGAAAGGTGTGTCTTTTGTTTGACAAGAGAACACCGCTAGGGGAGAAAGCAGGTATTAGCTGAGAATCGAACAAATAGATGATAGCACGACTCATTCTTGAGGCTACTTCCTCAATTTAGACATAGATCTGAAGGGGAAGGGAATTTTCTCCATGTTTAACTCATTTGTCCCTTGATTTTGAACTCAACTCATAAGACAAGGGTACTCTTGAATAAGGATATTTTACGACAGCACTTTAGTCGGTGCCAGTCGGGAGCAGGATTCGTATCAACCAACTACCGCTGGGATTCGAACCTGTAATACCTCATTGAGAAGCGAACGCTCTAACGCCTGAGCTATCATATTGTGTTAAAAGACTTAATATCATTATGTTTTAGTATACGCGTTATACATATTCTTACTTTCGCGATTCTGACATAGAAAAAGGCTAAATAAAAAAAATTATTTGGAAACTAATATAAAAGTCTGATTTGAATGTCTTAAAAATTTAAGAAGTTTCAAGCAATTTTCTAGGTAGTTTTCGTATCTTTTGAAAGGAAGCTCAAAATGATAAGGGGCTTTTCTTAAATTTCATTTTGTACTATTAAACAAGATTTATTAAAAGTGACACCGGCATTGTTGGGGATGTACCATCATAAAAGAATCTTTTCTTTTACCTGTGTTCTTCCTTTATACAATCATATTTCCCTGTACAAATGATTATTATAAGGAATTCTCATTTTTATTTAATTTTGTCTTTTGATACAAAATAATATTTGTAGAAAACTCCTTACCATTTTGAGTTCTTTTTAAGAAGTACAAGAACTACATGGAAAATTGCTTGAAACTTTTAAAATTTTTAAGATATTCAAATCGGATTTTTTTCCATTAGTTGCCAAATACAATTCACTACAAAATAATGAAAAAAATTTAAATTTTTTCCGCCCATCCGCAGTATAAAATAATTTCTTTAATTACTTATATATTGCACAGTTTTCCAGAATTTTTTTTTCAAATTTTAAAGCAAAAATTTTGTAAAATTTTTTAATTTCTCCAAAAAGTTTTATAAAAATGTTGCAAAAATGTCAATGTTAGTTTAAAAATGTTAGTTTTTATAAAAATGTCCATATTTCCATAAATATTTAAGCTAGGCTTGCGAAATTTTGTGCAATCATTGCATATTCTAACCAAATTCTTTTTTTGTCATAGGGCGTTCAAAAACACTATTTTCCGTTTGTAATTTATTGTGTGTATATATATATACATATATACATACATCCTCAGTAACAATTATTTAGTCTTCCAAATCTGATCTATGAAGATTGCAACTCGGTTAAATAGATCGAGGTATTTCCATGAAATTATATATTAACTCCGATTTTAATGAAATTTGGTGGAATAAACACTCATTATAAACTAAGCAATTTTACTAATTTTGAGATTTTTAATTTAAAAATTGTCCAAATTTTAAACCTTTGAAAAAAATTTTTTCATAAAAAACGACGAACTAGCATACATATAAGTGGCTGTAACTTTTTTTCTAATTGTATCAGAAAAAAATTTCAAAAACCATTGCCAAGCTAAAAAATAGAGCTTTGATTTGATGCCATATATGACCTTCTCAGGCTAGATCAAACTTTAAAAGTGACCTGATTTGACCTTTGACCTGAAATATCTCAAAACATGTGGTCTCAAAAAATTACGAAAAGAAAATTTTTTTTTACTGCAATATTCTTCTATACATTTACATATTTATAGCCGGGAGTCTCAACAGGAAACATATAAAGAATTAATAAAAGTGGTATGTTGTACAACTTTTTTTTCACCTAAGACATTAAAAAAAGTGAGTAAAAAACCTAAAACAATCTATGGAAAAGTCAGTAAAAAACCTATAATTCTTAAACTATTATATAAAAATATGTAAAATGGCAGGAAGGGATATTTTTTACAGCCCAGTCATATAACTTTCGCTGTGTCATGATTTGATCATTATACTAGAACGTGCAGCTTGTCTTTGAAAGTACTTGCAACACCATCACATGGACTTTTTCCATGGGCCGTAGGAAAGAAATGCCACTCAGCTGTGAGGCCAAAGTCTATATCATGATAGCACAAATTTATAAAGTTATTTCGATTTTTGTACTGTGAAACTGCTCCATCTGAGAAGCAATAAATATGTTTTATTTTGTTGTTAAAATGTGAGGTTATAAACTGCAACAATTGGGTCTGAAAAAAGTGAACGCTGACAGTATCATGCTTGAGACATTCCGAAATAGCAACAAAGGAAACATGATCCAATTTAAGTGTTTCTGAATTCATATACTAGTAAATGACAAAAGGGCGAATAGTACACTGGGAATTATTCCAATGGTATTCTTGGACTGCATCCTGCAATACAAAATAATATTTTCCAGCAAAATCACAGATCACTATGCAGTCATTATCATCAAGGATGCTTTCAGATTAGATAAAAGGCATGACAAGGCAAAGGTTGATTTGTAATGAAAGAATGTGGTAGAATCATTCTCAGTTTTGCTTCAAATGTTTCAAGAAAATCTTCTACATTGTTGTTACATGTCATAAGCGTTGTGCTGTCAGTTGTAGCTCACAGTTTATAGATAATCTCGTCTGTTCCGTTCAAGGGAAACACATTGTTTATTTGCTCTAGTATGTATGTAATTCCAGGGCAATAATCACAATTGAAAAAAAGCATTCCGGATTGGAGGATTGCAAACCATTCTTGATAAACAATCTTTGTATGTTTTAAATGGTATTTCTTCATATCGAGTTAATTGCTGTAATTTGCAGAGAACTAGCATAAGTTTTACATTTTCAGGAATCAAACAGACGCAATGGGTTTCCCTCGCACCAGCCAGCACAAAATTTTTCGGACGCAAATCACAGAACTTGGAGAATCCAACTCCTACATTGGAATTTTTATCTCTAAACCCTTGGAAAATTTCTTTAAGATTTCCTAAAACCAGACGGTTTTGTTTCTGTATTTTCACTCATTGTGACAAAATCTTTTCTTCCAGACAAACAACGACTCACTTCATCACTGTTGTAATATGCAATGATACTATCAATTGTGCTGTCACTAAGAGTTTTTTCAGGTCTAGGATTTGGACTTGTTAAAATACCCTGGTCTGCAACTAGTAGTTTAGATTTTCGTGCTATATGACATGTTGCATTAAATTCTTCCTGAATTTCATGAATACTCCAGGTTTTAGGCAATATTGTTAGCAATTGGAGCTTGAGTCTGTTTCTTGAAATTTTTCTTTCAGCTGTGAAATCACAATAGATTCATCAGACATTGTTGCAGAATTCCCACGTTTTCGATTGCTATAATTGTCTTTTAAAACTTCGCCGATTTTCTTAATTTTTTTTCATTATATTGTCCAAAACCTAATCTTTTTGTTTTTAGAGGAGATTCACCTAAAAGGCGTAATGTATTGTTCAAACTTCCCAATTCTTCTTCTTTATCATTCCATATTTCCCTCTGAACATCCTCTTCTGAATCACTTTCGCTGAACAGCCTATGGTTTTCCTCTGTTTCATTTATAACTGAGAAATTTGGCAATTTTGAGAGAGTTATTCGGCAAGAAGAACATAATTTTGGTTGCAGAGATAAATTTTGGTATTTTTTAATAATCCAAGGTGGTACTTTTCTCAAATTCTTTTTGGCATAGGTGTAATCATTTTTACCCAGAGGATTAACACAAAAAATTTGACTTTCGACATCCATTTTCGAAATGAAACTTTTCATTACAGAAAGTGGTTAAATTATCGTAAACAGCCATATTAACCTCAAGCTAGCAAAATCGTAATCTAAATGACATAAATCTAAAAGAGTCTTTCGAAAATCCTTATTGGTTATAAAAAAATAAATGAATAAAAAATATGCGTGCAAAAACAGAGAAAAGGAAACACATAGAACTGAAGTATCAGGATGCTTGCATTTTAAATTCAAACATCTGCTTTAGCACTCACAGCAGATAATTTTGTATAATCAAAGCATAATTAAAATTCCCGTTTTCAAGATTCATGTTTTCCTTTTTTACTCTCTACGAAATATAATTTTATTTCATTGCTCTTAATTTTTTTCCATTCAGAATTGCTTACAATATTTGCTTTTATTGAATAAAGAAACTTCATTGTTATTTTTAAAACATCTATAAATTTGTTATTAAGCTAGAAAATGTTAATGACTCACAGTAACTTAGGACAACAATATCTTATATTTTGAAAGAAAACTAAAAAAACGGAAGAACTCGGAACTTTATTTTTATTTTAATTTGAAAAGTTCTGAAAATGTTTTGAGAAATTCATAAAAACATAAAAATGAGAAGGTTGAAAAAAATGAGGATGTTTTCATATTTGGTTTATTTAAAAGATTTATTATTTGTATATTGATTAGAAACTGGGGTGGTGATATTAAATTAGTCTTTAGTAATAGCAAATTGTATGTAAAATCTGTTGATTTGTCGCAAAATATGTGTACTATATTATTAAATATTAAACTCAAATTATTTCTGTCAAGAAAAGAAAGAATTATTTGCTGTGTGCATCGTAAAGCATAGCATTTTTAATTATACAGTATTTCACTTGTGTTAATTTCTTACACCCTTCCTGTTGAGACTCCAGGCTACAAATTTGTCAAAGTGAAGAAGAATGCTGCAGTAAAAAATATTTTTTTTCGTAATGACCACATGTGAGACCACATGTTTTGAGATATTTCAGGTCAAAGGTCAAACCAGGCCATTTCTAAAGTTTGACATCGCCTGAGAAGGTCATATAAGGTACCAAATAAAAGCTCTATTTTTTAGCCTTGCAATGATTTTAAATTTTTTTTCTGACACAATTAGAAAAAAAGTTACAGCCATTTATATGTATGTAAGTTTGTCGTTTTTTATGAAAATTTTATTTTTTCAAATGTCCATAATTTGGACATTTAAAAATTAATGAGTGTTTATTCCATCAAATTTCATTAAAATTGGAGGGGGTCGTGATTGATCTGATGTGGAATGACTCAATTCTCCTAGATTTTCGATTTACTTTTTTGTTAAAAGTGTTATGTCTTATGATCCTTTTCCACAAAAAATAAGGACTTTTTCATTAAAAAAAATCATATGTAACATTCTTAGTAAAGTTAGCTTGCATTTTTTATTTAAAAATGATTGCAACTCTGATTAAGTCTGAAGTTATTTAAGTTCAGTCTAAAGTTATTTGAGTACATTAATTTTTTTTAAATTTCTAAATTATTCTAATATATATTTATATATTTTCTATTCATATATTTCATTCTATTTATATTTTCAATTTATCTATTTTAAAAGACCTAAAACCCTCTATATTTTTTTCGTAAAGAAATTCGTATTCTACAGCAAGATACTTAAAATATTAACTTAATATGAATAGTCTCACAAAATTCGATTCTGATAATTAAATCAAAAGTTATGTAACATGTTTATGCTTTTTCCCCAACAAAATTCATTTATTTCATCCAGCATTTTGTTTTTTTCACAGAAATAGACAAAAATTTCTTAACCGTAATATATAGTCTCAATAGACTTAATTCACAATTCTTAGATTGGCGCTTTCGTCAAGGAATCCTTCTATCATCTTGGCGACATTTCCCGAATCACTTTACTCGATATTCTTAATGGTAACCCGTCTCTCTTATCCTTGGTTCAGAAAGTGTGATGGTGAGAGAAAGTATTTGCGTGAGAGAGGATTTGAAGAACAAATAAATGGACCAAACAACTCGTTAGTAGATTGATATGATGACGTTGACACCATGAATAGATTTAGTTGTCGAGTTTGGCGATTAAATTGTCAGTTAATAAAGACTAAGAGGTTTGAGTTCATCTTCATGGCTAATTTAATGAACGAGAATTAGAAATTAGGTGAGATACATAAATTTCTAAACTTAATTAGGCCTTAATTAATAGCTAAATACTTATTGTATTCTAAAAAGTTTGCTTTTGAACTTTAAAACTAATACTTATTTATCTTTAAATAATTTAAATTCTGAGGAACTGTTTTAATAGATGTGCATTTAAAGCTATAATTTAAATGTTTATAAAATTTCCCCCTGAAACAGTTTTCTTAATATTTACTTCAAAACTTCAATTTTGATTTTCTAGTAATGGAATATTTTTTTCAAAATATATAAGAAGAGATAAAAGACATTTTTCGCATTAAATTGTTTGCACTATGACCATAAAAAAAAAGAGGTGAATTACTTCTTGGTTTGAAAAAGTTCAGAGGAAAAATTAATATTTTCTGATATATCTGATACCGGCAAAGTAGGAAACGCGACAGTCCATAGAATGCCTAGGCATTGTATATAATGCCAGAAATTTTTAGGCAAGTATGAAATATGAGAATTATTATATATTTTTCTAGGCATTGTACATAATACTTCCGCATGAACAGAATAAAGGATAATTATTCTATTAATGAAAAAAGGTTCTGATAGGGCTATTATATAAATTACGTGCATTCCACAAAGATATTTTATGTTAGTTTGTAAAAAATAATGTGAATTACATTGAAAAAATTATTCAAAATATGTACAAAAAAAGAAAAGTTGTACAAAAAAAAATTTATGTCTTTCTTATTAAGGGAAACAAAACTTTCATATAAAAGAAATTAAAATTAGCATTGTAACTTGAATGTTATTTTGAATTCAAGCCCACAGAATTTTTTCACTGCTTTATCTATTTATTAATTTTCTTTTTGCCTCAGTGGAACTCCCATACAGTATTTAATGAATGAAAACAAAACAGTTCTAGAAGCAAAAATATCTGGCATACATGGCTAATACACGTATAAAAGATTTTGAAGTTTTTCTCTCTGATTTTTAACTACCTTTAAAGCTGCTATAATTTTATTTTTATAAAATTATTGTATTGTTAGCCAAACTGATATTTAGAAGGAAAAAAAGATATAAAACTTTTATATTTTTTTGTTACTTACAACGGAGAAGAAACTTTAAAACTACAGCCGATGTACACCTATCAAGTCAAAACAGAATTATAGTGAAATAAAACATTATTTTTATATATATATATATATATATATNGAAATTTTTTTTATCGAACTAATTTTTAAATGCAAGCAAATTTTCACAAATATTTTGTGATTATTTCATTAAAGCAAAATAATCAGGTTAAAAAAGAAAACAAAAGAATGCAAAATTGTTTTCACAACTAAGATTTTCCTTTAGTGAAACTAACAAAACATTCCGTAGCATTGTTTCTTCTTAAAAAAAGAATGGATTATTTGAAGGGAAATTTTTATAGGATTACCTTTATTGTAATAATATTTCAAGTTTATGTTGATCACTCAAATTTGTTAGAGTTGTTTTCCGAGAACAAAAATGATCAGATGAAAGGAAATCTGTAAAATTGTTCTCACGGCAGTATTACTTTCTTCACAGAGAAGCCAATTACACGTTCTGTGCCATTGTATTAGCTTTCATTAAAAAAGAGGAAAAAAAAGAGATTGTAAGTAAAAAATTTGTCGAATCATTTTCATTGTACTATTATATATATATATATTGTTTACTGGTTTACTGTTTGTTCACTAGCCTACTTCAGTAATCAAAAAAATCTGGGAAGTAGTAATTTTTTAGTTTTTCTCGTATTGATGAGCCTTTATCGAACAGTTAGGAATAAGTATTAAAAGGCCCATTTTCTTACAATACCTTAAATGATTATTTTTACATCATTTCCTCTGGTCCCTTATTGATGAAATCTATATTCTCTAATTTTTCTATATCTATATTCTCTAATATGTTCCATAATTTCTTAATTAATAAATAAATAAAAATTTTACTATAACATTTTAAAATTGTTTTTTCTTGAAAAATGCATAAAAATCCATTTTTCTTAAATTTGCAATTGCGTATAATCCCGTTATATTTTCCTCCCATTGAAACTTGAACATAGGCGTTTTGAGAGCTTACTGAAAGGACGTGTTTAAGTGGTATTTTAGTCAATTTATGAAAGTAACAATAAAAATATATGCACTGCACAAACTTAGGTTGCATAGCTGCCGTCACTTTTGTTGTTCAGATAAGTTAAATTCGTTTTTAAGTACAAAACTTAGGTTGCATAGTTACCGTCACTTTTGTTGTTCAGATAAGTTAAATTCATTTTTAAGTACAAAACTTAGGTTGCATAGTTGCCATCACTTTTGTTGTTCAGATAAGTTAAATTCGTTTTAAAGTACAAAACTTACTTGCATAGTTGCCGTCACTTTTGTAGTTTAGATAAGTTAAATTCGTTTTTAAGTACAAAATTGTAGTTATCATGCAAAACATTTTATAAAATCTAGAAAATAACAATTGTTTGAGGAAATTTGATGCGATTATATTACTAAAAGTGTGTTTGTCTTTTAAACGAAATAATTTTGCAATTAAGCCATGAATTGATTCTAATGCGCATGAAAATATATGTTGCCAGTAAAAATAAAACAGATAAAAAATGAATAGATTATTAAATAAATAAAGCTATAACAATGAAAAAGTAAATAAAAAAGTGTGACTACATGCACTTTTAAAAATTTAGTTTACTTCAACATAAAAAATGGCAGCAACTATACGCCAGCATTTTTTACTATGTTGAACCAACAGAAACCACTATAAATAGTATTTTTTTTCTTATTAAAACATTTCTACTATTAAAACATTACTATTAAAACATACTATTAAAACATACTATTAAAACATTTTCTTTTAAAATGTTATGTTTGAGTAATAAAGGAACGATAAAAGTGATACTTCACGAGGAAAAACTTTATTTTGTCGTGGAAAGGGAAGTGTTACGGGCATTTATCAACAGGTGCCATCAGTTACTAAAGAGATAAATGTTACGTAATTAGTAGAAATTCAATGGAATTGTTGAAATAGAATAGAACAGTAGAAATTCCATAGAATTGTAGAATAAAGGCGACATTATCATACAGAGGAAAAATTTTGTCTCATTATTTTCACTGTACTAATGCTTTTATTGTGAGAAATTTACGTAAATTAGTTTAGTTTAGTTAAATGTTCCGAAATAAATGTGATCGAAGATACGATGGAAGACTTGATGGGCGAGATTCAATAGATGAAAATATCTAGAGTTGTTTTGATAGTTGTGATTATTTCATTAAAGCTAATCAGGTAATCACTAAGAATGTAAAATTGTTTTCACAGCTGTAAGATTTTTCCCGCAGTGAAACTAACGAAATGTTCCTTCACATTGTCTACAATAAAAGAAATGGTTTGTTTGAATGAAAATTTTTATAGGATCCCTTTTATTATGTCAATATTTTAAATTTAAGAAAATTACTCAAATTTCTTTCCCGAGAACAAAATGATCAGATAAAATGAAATCTGTAAACTTGTTTTAACAGCTGTATGGTTTTCCCTACAGTAAAGCGAATAACACGCACTCTTACCAGGGCTACTCTTACGCAGTATAGACATGCATTTAAAAAAAAAAAAAAAAAAAAAAAAAAAAAAAAANAAAAAAAAAAAAAAAAAAAAAAAAGCGATTGTTTGTAAGTAAACATTTAGTAGGAATATTTTTATTTTCATCGTACTAACACTTGAAATGTAAGGAAATTTTTTATTAAATCTAAATAATCAGGCCAAATAATCAAATTGATTATCTCATTAAGGCTAAATAATCAGGTTAAAAAAAAAACAAAATAATATAAAATTGCTTTCACAACTGCAAGATGTTTCTCGCAGTGAAACTAACAAAAAGTACCGTCACATTGTTTATTATTAAAAAAATGGATTGTTTGACGGGAAACTTCTTCGATTGTAATAATATTTTAAATTTAAGTGAACCACTTAAATTTGTTATAGTTGTTTTCCGTGAGCAAAATGATCCGATAGAAGAAAATCTGTAAAATTGCTTTCACGGCAGTATGACTTTCTTCACAGTGAAGCGAATTACACGCTCTGTGACACTGTATTAGAACTATTAGAAAAGGAAAAAAAACAAAAAAAAAAAAAAAAAAAAAAAAAAAAAAAAACAAACAGATCGTTTATAAGTAAAAAATGTAATAGGAATATTTTCAATGTATTATTGCTTCAAATACATGGAAATTTATTAAAGTTTGTTCTGATTGTTTCATTAAAAGGTCATCAGCTAAAAAAAAAAAAAGATATGTGAAATTGTTATGAAAGATTTTCGGTACTGTGAAACTAACAAAACGTTCAGTCACATTATCAACAATTAAGATAAATAATAAATTGTTTGAAGGGAAACTTTGCTGCACTAATATTTTAAATTTTAAAAAATCACTCAAATTTGTTATAAATAATTACCCGAGAGCAAAATAACGAGATAAAAGGAAATCTTTAAAATTGCTTTTACAGCTGAATGACCTTCCCTGCAGTGAAGCAAATAACACGCTTTGTGACACTGTTTTCCAATAAAGTGGAAAAATAATATGAGTATTTGATATGAATAATTAAGGGAAAACTTTATAGAAATTTTTTTTATCGAACTAATTTTTAAATGCAAGCAAATTTTCACAAATATTTTGTGATTATTTCATTAAAGCAAAATAATCAGGTTAAAAAAGAAAACAAAAGAATGCAAAATTGTTTTCACAACTAAGATTTTCCTTTAGTGAAACTAACAAAACATTCCGTAGCATTGTTTCTTCTTAAAAAAAGAATGGATTATTTGAAGGGAAATTTTTATAGGATTACCTTTATTGTAATAATATTTCAAGTTTATGTTGATCACTCAAATTTGTTAGAGTTGTTTTCCGAGAACAAAAATGATCAGATGAAAGGAAATCTGTAAAATTGTTCTCACGGCAGTATTACTTTCTTCACAGAGAAGCCAATTACACGTTCTGTGCCATTGTATTAGCTTTCATTAAAAAAGAGGAAAAAAAAGAGATTGTAAGTAAAAAATTTGTCGAATCATTTTCATTGTACTATTGCTTTAAATGCAAAGAAATTTATGCAAGTTTGTTGTGATTGTTTCATTAAAGCTAATCCTAAAAATAAAAAAAAAGAATGTAAATTGTTACGAAAGATTTTTGCCGTTGTGAAATTAACAATACCTTCTTTACAATTAAGAAAAATGATGGATTGTTTGAAGGGAAATATTTTATAAGATTACTTTTAGTGTATTGATATTTTAAATTTAAAAAAAGAAATATATATAATTGTTCACTTGAGGGCGAAATGATGAGATAAAATGAAATCTGTAAAATTGCTTTCACGGCTGTATGACTTTCCACGCAGTGAAGCGAATAACGAGCTCTGTGACATTGTTTTCCGTTAAAGGGAAAAAATAATATTGTTTTGGGGGGAAATCTTTATAGAAAATTCTTTATCGAATTTGTTTTTAAATGCGAGGAAATTTACACAAATTTGTTATGATATTTTTATTAAAGTAAAATAATCGGATAAAAGAAAAGAAATTAGAATTTTTTTTCCACAGCTGTAAGATTTTTTCTTCAGTGAAACGTGAATAACGCATTGTTTTGCCTTCTTTCAAAGCAAAATGATCATATAAAGGAAAAGAAAAAGTCCGTAATCCAACAGTAAGGCTTTTCCACAACTAACAAAACATACAACTTAATAAACATTACGTTGCATTGTCTCACACAAAAACAATAAATAAGTAAATAAATAAATAAGTAAATAAATAAATAAGTAAATAAATAAGTAAGTAAATAAACAAGTAAATAAATAAAATAAAAAAATATGAAAAAAAAAAAATAAAAAAATTATTGTTTTGAAGGAAAATTTTGTGAGACTATTCATATTAAGTTAATATTTTAAGTAGAACTAAATTTAGATGACTTTTTTAAAATTTTTTCTACGTATTTTTTAATCTTCATAAAAACAACATAGAATTGCTTTTATTGCCTCAATATTTTATCAGCAGGGAAATTTGTTAATTGTTAATTTTTAAATGCAAACTGTTAAATTTAAATTGTTTACTAAGTACTTAAAGCAAAATGATTTTTTGAAAGTATCAATTTGTAGACCTATCTTTACCGATTAAATGATTTTTAAACAATTAAAATTTTCTGAAAGTGAATATGTGTATAATGGAAAATTCTGAAGAATTGCCTTCAATGCCGTGATATTTTACTCCCATTTATCTCCTTCAAGATTTCTAAACTATTATCAAAGGATTGGATTAAAATACTCCTCTTGGTTTTTTATTGTGAATTCCAATATTTCAAATTTCCAAAATATTTTTTCAATTTAAAAATATAAAAAATTTTAAACTTTGTTTTGCCATGTACCTTTGTATTATTCATCATTCCCGAATTTTCATTAAAAAATTGGTAAAATATATTATTTAAATTCTGCAAATTTGCATAATATATATTATAAATATATTATATAAATTAAGAAATACATAAATGCTGGAGTACTCTTTCTATTTTTACTGTAAAAACAAATGAAAGTAAAAAAACTACCAAAAATTACCATTTAGCAATAAAAATATACTCTAAAATTTTAAAAATTAAAAAACGACAAATTGCGGAAATAATTTAGTGGCAACAAGCATAAGAATAATTTAAACAAAGGACTTAGCCAAACCGAAAGTCATCATATGTTCGTCACTTTTGCTTTTATTTAAAATTTTTCTTAAATATTTCAGTTAAATTCCTAGATCTCACAAATACAAAAATTTTAAAATCATTTTTTTTGAGCGATTTTGTTGACATTGTCTTATAGTTTAAGAAAAATTGTCTATTACAGTAAGACAGTGTAGAATTAATTATACTATTTTTCTGCGCTTTTAACGCAATTCAGTGATCCCAATGTTTTTGAAATTATTTTATTATCGTAAGCTGAATAATTAAAAATTGATTGAAATAACAGAAAGCTGAATTATTTTCTCTGCGTTAATTCATTTCTCTCAATGAAACTTGTTATATGCATTGATTTTACTTTAAAACCAAACGATAGTTTTTTGGGTTAAATTCAGAACAATCATTTTTCACAGCCGTAATATTTTTCTAGCAGTGATAGCAACAAAAATATGTTACGACTGTTTTCAAAAAGTCAAACGATCAGTGACTAAAAACAACAGGATTGTTTATGCAGCTTCATTAATGTTAGGAAAATTTTCTCAAAAATAGTGATGTTTTATGCTTTGAAATGAGCAAAGACAAAACCGTTATTATGAACAAGAAATCCGATTAAGACCAAAACATGAAGAAAAAAAATATAAAATTTTCCTTTATTAAGAACTAATTTTTATTTTGCATTTCCTTTAGAATGCTAAGCATATTTTCCTATGTTTTTTGTTTCGTGGTTGGTTTTAATTTTGGGAAATTTTTAATGTAAGTGTTGCAAATTTATTTTAATTTAAACAATCAAAAATAACTTTTCTTAAGTTAAAAAAAAACTATTTCATGATAAAATAAACAAAGCCATTACAAACAATTAAATTTCGATAAAAATTTTCCAACTTAAACTTTTTTTTCGATAGCTATATAGCTGTTTAACTAATTCAACAAGTGTTTTTTCATACTATTTCTATTTTTCTACTATTCTCCAACTTTACAGTGACCAATGACTATAAGACCTCTACACTATATAATTATCCTTTGCGTGATAGTAATAGTGTCTTTTTGGCACGAATTTTTCAAAACCTTTGTGAAGATTGGAATTTCTATTGATTTGGTGAAGGATTTAGAGAGATTGGTCTTTTTCTTTCCTACAAAAATTGATGCTGCATATTTGATAAGTGGAAGTAAGAAAATGAAATTTCTTCAGTTAGGTCAATGCCATTTTCGATAGTGTAAGAGATTAAAAAGTGTTTAAATACTAAAAAATTTTCTTTAACTATTAGCTAATAGTGGTCTTTAACAATTACTCTTTTAGCAATTAACAAGCTTGTGGTTAATTAGCATTGTATCATTTGGTTACAAAATGAACTAAACAAGTTTTTTTCTTAAAATAAAACGCTATAAAGCATTTTGTATATGTTTATCATTTTTTTGCAGGACTTACTTCTATTTGTGGGAAAATAGTCAGGACAAAAATAACGAAAAGACGATGAGTATTTGTCAAATATATATAGGCATCTTGTTTTATCTTTGGAAGTTAAAAATAAAAATTGCCTGTTACTAAAAAGTACTTGAAAATACTTGAATATTTAAGTTTTTGACTGCCAGAGTTTCATTCTTTGAAATAAAAAACAATTAAATAGCTTACACCAAACTATTTAAATAAAGTATAAAGGAAATTTTTTATTAGTTTTATCATTATTACGTTTTTGATTTTCCTATATAATTTCATTAGCAAAATTATTGATCAGTAAATGTTAACTTATTTAGAATTCAAATTAATCATTTAAAAAGGCTATCCCACTTAAGACCATAATATCTTATAAATTTGCTACAAATTAAGCCAAGTAAACCTAACTGAGTTCAAATTTAGCCTTTTTCTTACCACAGTCAATGGTATGGCACAACTTGAAATGTAATCAGTTTAAACTTAACGATAACACTTTATCGACATTGTATTGAATTTGGATGACATTATGATGGCAATAAATATAAATGCATAGATTGAATGTTTTAACCTTCTAATCATGTTTAAAAAGTGTAAAAAGTACTCATTTGAAAGTTGGGGACAGTGATTACAGAGGTTTTGAGTGTTGCTCCTATTTGCTTTTCTATTTTATTTTGTATATTAATAACTTCTACATCAATGACGAATCACGGCTAAGGCTTGAAGTCTCTTTCAACGACTATGGTCGGTATGCCACAGAATTTTCATCTCAGTGAGACAACGTGGTTGGTACCAGAGAAGGTAACTACCTGAACATGCACATCGCACTACCTAGAGGACTTTCATCCACTATAAATTAATCGCATCTTGCTTGCGTAAAGGATATGAGCAATTCTCTAGTTGCTTTTTATAAATATTAATTGTGAACAATTTTATTGATTCATGAAGTAATTTTTTTTTGTATCGTTTAATCGTTACAGGGAACAATGGCTGATGAACCAGATGACGATGAATTGGAAGCTTATCTGAGGAGCAGTTTGAGTGACCGTAGACGTAGCCGATGGGGCAGACAGTCTCTTCGCAGGGGATCCTCCCCCTTTCTCACAGAAAGCATGGCTGGCAAACATGGAAGAAGATTGTCATCATTTACAATATCTTCTGGAGAGTAAGTGAAACAATTCTTTTTATTTTATGACCGCCGTTGAGCAACCGACCCAATTTTGAGTTTACGACTACCATTATTCAAACTCGCGGCTTTGTAATTTTGAACCCAATCCAGAAGACAAGGGAACTCATGGATCAAGTATTGGGAAAAATGTGCATTCGTGGCGGATTTTTTAATGGGACCAATCCGTATTTGCGTTACATGGAGAGGAAAGCCATGAGAGCGTCCCACGGTTAGCCTGACGGCAAGGGGACTCTGAACCATTATCCGTCTACTACTAAGGATATTTTACGTCAGCACTATTGTCGGTGCAAACCGGAAGCGGAATTCGCATCGACCAGCCATGGCTAGGATTCGAACCCGGTTCATCTCATTGTAAGGCAAACGCTGTTTTCCCTGAACCACCACAACTCAATTATTGTTATTAAAGTCGGGGAAAATTTGTTAATTTTTTTCGAATCTACAAATTTTTTGATTTATAGTGTTGATTAAATGTCGCCCGGGAAAAGATATTATAATTATTTTTACAAATTATTTAACTTAAAAAATTCCTGAATTGCAAATCAATAATTCAACTGTGTAATCAATAAATAATCAAATAATCAATCACATTTAAATCAGTTCTTTATTTTTTTAATGTTTTTTTTAATTTCATATTTCTTTCTATACTTTTACTACCTACATAAGTTTATATAATTTGGCTTTGCTATTTTGTTACTTTAATAGTAAAATTAATATTTTTATCAGAAAGAATATAAATCTTATTTAATACCTGTACATGTAAATAGGTTTAAAATTAAAATATCTTTCCTTATGGTGAGTACGTGGATGATCAGAAACAAACGGGTCGAAAAATAGTTTATGCGTGTAAGAATTATACAAATAGTCCAAATTACTAATCTTACCGGTCCGCGATGTAACACTAAAATATTTTACAAGTCCTAAGAGCAAATAAAGTTCAGAAATACTGATTTAGAACATTTTAATTAAACTTGACGGAAGCTACAGAGTGTACCGAAAATAATTTCACCTTCAATCTATTACACTAGGCAAAAATTTTTTTTTGTCGCATTTATACAAATACTTGATCTTGCATAATTTTTGTGAGGGGACATCCAATTTGAAATTAGTTTTGCTTCTAAAGCTGCAGTATTTTTTTAAAAGTATTTTTTAAGTCTATTTTTGTTGAAATGTACAAGTTTAAAGACGTCGTGTGTATCAGGGAGTCAGATGCTGCCACAAACTTGTAGGGGAGTTAGGGCACTTCATTAAGACTAAAATCGCGTAGATACCTGTGCCCGGAAATGTCATCGTACGCAACTAGAGGCGCTTCATTATTTGACCTGTTCGCGCCTCTAGTGGCGGATGGCGACATTTCCTGGTTTGGGTTTCCCTGCAGTTTTAATCCTGCAGATGTGCTCTACATCTCCCAGAAGTTTGACGTAACATTTATGCGACTCCCTATTATATATTACGTTTTTAAACTTGTACATTTCGACAAAAAGTAGAATAAAAATGTCTTTAAAAAACGAACATGGTGAGAGAAACCGATTGCGGATTTAAATTCAGTGACATGAAATTTTCCAAGTTCCTATCAAAAATCTCATGCAACGGAAAAAAGTATCCCAGTGTTATCAATGCAAGTTCTCTAATGTCTATTACTCAGTTATGTTAAATTTTTCTTCTCCATAAAACTGAAATGTGTGCTTATTGCTAGAATTATTTGCGTACTTTTATCGATGAAAACACTTCCAATTTAAAAATTCAGTAATGACCTACTCTTGTCTTTATATTTAAAAACAATAATATTTATCATTTGACAAACTATAACAAGCAGCGGACGTAAACAAAAAGTACTTAAACAGTGATTAATCACGCCAAACTTGTCAGCTATGAAAGACGCAGTGAAATAAAATGATCCTTTTATTTATTTTTTGGTGGATGAGACTCAAAAATGGGTCGATCCTTTTGCACATCCCATCTGCTCTATCACGTGCAAGGCCATCAGAGTACTCAAGATTTTCATTTTCCTGTGGGCAACCCTTCTGTTTCCTTCAAATCCGTGGGTGTGGTTCTCAGAGAGGGTGTGCCCCCCAGCATCTCACTACTCGCCTGCACTCTTCATCACCAATAATTCACAGAATGGACCTTGAGATTTCTCGTCCATTTTTTTGAGTCATCATTTCTTTTCTGAAAAAGAATCAGGAAATGATAAACTTGGTTTAAAAGATAAAGCCTGGCTTTGTATGGCTTGCCACCAAAAATTAGAAGACGCGAAAGAATACGAAATCATAAATTGATAAATGATTGTTGATATACATGCATCATGAACAGAAGTGTAGGAAGCGAATTTTGTTTTTTGGAATAAATTGTTTTTGGTCATTCAATTAAATTAGGTCACTCCGTGTATGGTGGATTTAATCTTCATTTACCACGGCTTAAGTGTATGTCGAAATTCGGCAAATGTGGTAAAATTTGGTACTTAATTATGATACCTTAGAGTACGGCATACAAACTATATGTTCGGCTAAATTTACTTTTCAGTTTTTTTATTTTTTACTAAATGTGTGGTTATGAGAACTATAATTTTGAAAGGCGGAATATCCATTAAACCGTTAGCATATTAACGAAAAATAATTACTAAATGTTGTTGTTGTTTTCGTCAGCCATTAAGGCAGAGGGGGTGCAATTGTTCTTGTTTTCCAGTGGCGCCATCTATGACCAAGAATTCTACTTCTGTCACACAAATACGTCACACCCGTTTTATAGGGCGGACCCATCCACACATCCATTCATTTATCCACAGATCACAATTCTGATCTGAGCCAGAGAATGATCGATCTCCAATTCAGTACCCCTAGAGGTATAATTTGTTATGAAAACATGGAGGACTTCGTGACTCGGAAAATTTAAAGTGCAGCAGTCACCATTTACTACATGGGGAGTCTTCAGCCGGCTGGATTCGAACTCCCATTCACACGAGTGTGAGTTCAGCGCCCTGCCAACCAGGCTATCCCGGCACCAAATTACTAAATGAATTATTTGAGTACCGCATGTTTTTGGTTTATTACCAGACTTTTTTCAGAGATTTTTTTACCATACAATGCGGTAGTTTTACCAGAGTTTTTCTCCATGGGTAAGAAACCAAATTTGTAGATGCCTCTCTAACATGCAATATTTGTTAAGGTTATTTTATTTTATTATATTTTAGGATTTTGCGCGTGATTAAAATAAATAAAGTAAAGAAGGGAAACTATATCTACTGTTTTCAAATGCGGATGCAAATTGTAAAATAATAAAAATTTCAAATAATTTTATTTGCGTTACGGAATTTTTTAAATTTTTTTTTTCTCATATCGATTACAATGAATAAATTCTCTTCCAAAATCATAATTACTAATAATGCAAAGTAAATCAGAGAATTAACGTTTTGAAGGAAGATAATTTTTCTGGTAATTTTCAAGTCTAATGATTTTCAAAATTTTTTTTAAGCCTCAATTTAAACTATAACTTATGAAACTAAGAACTTTGCGTTTTTATTGAATTTTGATGAGTTAATTATTTTCTGATATTGATGAGTTATTTATCTCTTCTTAGATAAAAACTAATCTATTCTTTCGTAAATTAAAAGTGCGAAAAGTAAGTAAGCGAAAGTAAATTTTAAAAGTGCTAAAAGTCTCTTTACTTAAACTCAAATAGAAACAATTCTTTTTTTCAATCTATCAGACAAAATGTTTGATTGCTGAAAAACTAAATTAATCAAATATTTTCATTGTTTTGTTGGCGAAAGGGAATGACTTTTAGGTGATGCCATCTGCAATTAAATAAAACTGTTCTGGAACAAACTGATGAAACGAAACACTAATTAATGGAATTCAAACAAAATTGAGGAGTATTCTAATTAGTTTTAGGTAATTTCGAAGTATATCTTTTCTCATGATTAAATTATTGGTGACATTTTAATTTGAGGGATGCATTTAAGTAAATAATTACTTTCGGTGATTGCAGAATTAAAAGAAAAGTTAAATATTTGCTTCATGATTGTTTGTGATCTGAAAATAACATCATGTTAATAAAAAAAAAGATTGTGTAGTACAGCAAGAAAAGTGTTAGGTTCACTATAAAATTGGCTAGTAACCATTGTTTCTATAAATATCAGAATTAATAACTGCTTTAATAACGTGTAATTTATGCAGAGTTAAATATGTATTGCATTTTCGATTCAAAATAAAATTATTAACTTTTGAGCAAATTCCATGTTTAAAAAATGTTTCTTTTTCAAGTTTTTTCACATCCACTGAAAGGTTCTAACACCCTACCTAGAAGTTTTTAACGTCCACTGGTGGGGAGGGGATAGCGGCCACTTCGGAAATCTATGTAAAAGATAGTTTAAACTTCGATCAGAGCTCTGAACTAAGCAAAAATACAACGTTCATCAATCCTTACCAATCCTTACCACCAATTCTTACCTTAGACGGAGAATTTATTGCCAATTTTATCACTAACGCTAAATCGGACTTTCTAGGAGTGTATATAAACAAATTAAAATGAAGAAAGTTATAAAATGGGGACAAAACTAGTAATTAAAAAAATATATAAATTCACTAAAAATATATTAAAAAATCCCTTCTTTGTAAAATACTATATCACAAGCTTATTTTTTCCTAAGATCTTTAAATATAAAAATAACTATTAATATTAAATGGTTAGAGCTTTTTTGTGAAAGTTAAACTTAATCGAAGGATAATTTTTTAGTAGAAGTACTTAAGTCACATTATTTGAACTAAAAGTTTTGGCAATGCTCCCGATTCATTATTGGTATTTTATTAAGGAATTCCCAGCTTATTAAATATTAACTTAAGTTTGTAAAGGTATATTTTCCAGATTTTTTCCGCTTTAAAGTATTTAATAAGTCATGCTTTTTTTTTCATAGAATCACTCATCATACTTTTGTGACAAAATTTTTAGAAATTGATGTTTAAGAAATACTTTTTGTTAGA